AAGAGTTCTTTTAGCTGTTGAATCAACCAGTTCTCTTGGGGGCAAATGGAACATTTTATTCTTGAAAGAAATCTGAGACACAAGTATCATCCCAAATTCATCTCATGCTGGAGACAGAGGGATTTATCTTGGGCCCCGGGTTCCATGTCGTTCCTTCACTTCATGCCTGAAGAGCTCTTACTTGCCCTTCACTGAAGTGTTTGGTGGCCACGGAGGAGAACCAAGCCTGCGCAGAATTGTTGAGAACCCTGAGGGCCCCACCCCTTGAGGGAGGCCTTCCAACAGCAAGTCCTGGACACCTAGAAAGCATCCAGGTGTCTGAAATGGATCTAGCATGTGGATTCTCTTCCCTCTTTTCGCTCCACAAATTTATTTTAAATCCAATCTTATTGCTGTTTTTATGGCTATCTTACAGTAATTGACACAGGCAATGTGTCCATCAGGATGGGAGTTACTCAGCAACTCTTGAAAAGTGAGGGGAGAGCTACATCAAACAATGGCCAAATACATATATATTTTTAAAGATTTATTTATTTTACATACAAGAGCTGGGGTATAGGCCAGAGATGCGGGGGTGGGGGGGTGGGAGGTGGTGGTGAGAGAATTCACCAGAGACAGAGTGGGCAACAGAACAGGCATAGGAACTGAAATATATTGCTGAGGGGAGCAGCAGGCGAGACAGGAGAGGTCTGCTGTGAATGGTCAAATATATTAATTGTGTGAAACGAGCCATTTACAATATGGAATGTTTTGGGGGTTTTTTTAGTATGGAGAATTTAATGCAGTTTTTATGAAAGAAAAACTATTTATACTTACATATATTTGTATGTATAGGGAATAACTTAGCATTTTGTGTCACCTCTATGGAATAAGTCTAACGGTTGAGGGGTGAGGACATAGGGCTTTCATTTTTTTCACTTGTACACTTACAGATTAGTTCATGTCAACATCACATGTATGCAGAGCAATGGGTGGAGGCAGAGTCTTTCCAATAATGGTGCTGAGATTACTGCATTTTCATATGGCAAAAATTAGCCTTGACCTTACCTCCCTCCAGGTGAGTGGTAGATCTAAATAGTAAAGCTTCTGGAAGATATTCTGTTCATAATCTTGGGTCATATTTAATAAACCCCATTAACAAATGGATGCTTATATAACATTTTAAGTTGTAAATTCCTTTTATGATCTCTTTTGTGTGTTATATTTCATCCCCCAAAGTGGGGGGCGGGGTTTCAAAACGAGGAAATACGCTCGATACTCCATAAAACCTGTTGAATGGGTTGCAGGGGAATGTGGGCAGAGGGTGTGGCAAAATCAAGTAACCCTCAACCGTCTTAATGCCCAAAAGACTGTGACTCACAGGTTCCCCAACGTTTTTCCTTCCCACAGGAAAATACAAAAGTAAACAAAATATGGGTATGAGAATCTGTGTCCTTTAAGCTCCCATTTTTACTTTGTGATCCTGAACTTGATAATCAGCAAGAGGATGTGGTAAAAATCAGGGTGGGGGGCGGGGGTTAAGGGATTCTTTTGATCCCTTTGCAGTTTAAATGTTACCTAAAAAGAACTTCAGAAAGCACCAAGTTTCCAACAGGCAGGAACACACAGACAGGGCAAAAGCCCAGAGCTGGAGGGGTGGGGTCAGCACCACCAGTTGTTTCTCAGCTTCCCCTTTGCCCCAGAAAAAGACTTTGGGGGGACCACGAAGAAAAAGAGACAATTCCAGCACAAGTGGATCCAGGCCAGCAGGAGCCTTAGCCTCCGGCCCTTGGTGCAGAAGTTAACCAGGGTCACTCAGGCCCGCTCACTGACCTGGTGAGGGGTGCAGTCAGTCCAGAGGGCCTGGGGAAGCTTTAGTAAAACTCTTTAAGGGAACAACAATGGCAGGGACAACAATGGAATGAGAGGGCTCAGATCTTCTGCATTCCAATTGACATTTCCAGAAAACACAGTGCTGGTGATGGTGATGGCAACTGGGGTGAGGGGTGGGGCCGGAGGTGGGTATCTGGAGTGAACTGCAAAATAAAGGAGGAAAGGGTATAGAAATGTTTCCTTAAACCCAAAGGTATTGACTCTCAGTATGTCTGCGTCTTGCGGAGTCACACAGAAATACCCATGTTTTCTTTAATTAACTTAAAATATATAGGCTACATGGTGTAAATAAAATTTGCTTCAGAGAACCTCAGGGGCATCTCAGGAAAGTGTATTTCTGAAGAGCAACTGAAACTCAGGTTCAAGTAGAGGCCTCAGAAGGCTTAAGGCCTCCTCCTACTGAGGCCACAAGCAATAGGGTTCCAGATATGAGCTCCAAATCGCGAGGACCAAGTGGCACGCACTGACCCGACACCATCCAGGATCACCACGGCCACTGTGTGTGCCAGGCCACGCATGACAATAGCAGAGATGTTTAAACTTCACAACCGCCAGTTCTCATGACAACAGTGGGTATGTATATCTCAAATCAACTCTACATTTCACTGTTATTTCTTTTACTTTTAACACATACCCATGTATAGAAGCCACATCCTGAAAGGAGGAATTATTAATGGAAGGCATGAAAGCCACCAACCTTTTTCTCTTAGAGACTAAAAATTTGACCAGATGTCAGGGAACCCATGGAAAAGCTGCACCCTAATGTCTCTGAGCCCCCGATGGGCTGAGTGAGCAGCACCCATGTGACACTGTCTCTGGAGGTTTCAGCGGGTGTGTGGTGGGGACTCCTGAACAGTTAGTTGCAAGCCACATGATGAAGCACATGGAGCAGAGGTTCTGGGGCAGCCAAGAAAAAAATGCTCCCTCCTCTCAGGATCTGCCTTATTCCAAACCCTTCTGCTTCTGGGACCTTAATTCACCCCAAAGATTGTCCCCTAATGAAGTGATGTGTTGTTTCCATCCATTAAACCCCCAAGACTGCAAAAATCAATGCCCAGTTCATAGGGGCAAAGGTTACATGAGATGCTTATCATCTCTTCATGCAGGTTTGCTCCTGGGGCCGCCTCCAGGTAGTCTCCCAGTACAGGGCCTACATCGTCTCACCACCCGCACTGATCACTGTGTCCTTGCAGACGATGAGCTTTCCAGGGCAACAGACAGGCACTGCCATCTGTCATTGGACCTCCAGGGCACCCACTCGCAAGAAGACTTACATGAAGTGTTATTTGGTGAAATTGCTACTCTTGCTCTTAATCACTCTGAGAAAAATATCAAGTGGCTGTTTAGGGTAAAATTCAAACTTAAGAGAAACTCAACCCCCGTTCTGTGGAGGCTCCTAACCAGACACAGCAGTGATAGAGAAAAGCATGTCAAATTGTAAAATGATTAAAGTAAAAAAATTAAACATAGAGCTAGGAGGTGGAGTAAGAAGTGCGGGTGACCCCAAAGACCCCAATGAGTGTTTGCACCCAAGGGCTTTGGCCCCCAGACTTTCTCCAGGTAACAGGTGGTTAGTTCTCATTTGAGCATCAGAAGAGGAAATCAGAGAGCTAATTATCCGTGGCAATGTCGGGCCACGGCAGGGCTCCGCAGTACAGGAGGAGCCAGCGGGGGCAGGCTGAGCTGCTAATTTCCACAATGCTTCCCAGGAAGTAGCTGCTGCCACTGAGATGTGCATGTTGCCCCCCTGGACTTTCCTGAAGAGTTCAGACCCTGAGGCGAAGTGAGAGGCTGTGGATTTTCCTTGGACCCTTCTGGGTTCTCTGTCTGGTCTAATAATTAAAGTGACACCCGGCAGATTAACCAGAGAAAAACAAATTTAATTTCGGAGGCATGGGAACCCTACAAAGACTTGGAGTTCCCCCATAGTCAGTAGAGAAAGGCTTATATGCCATTGTGAGCTAGGGAGAAGAGGGCAGGGTCTAGGACTTAGAGGGCAGGGAATACAACTTACAGGAAGGTGGGAAGAGCAAATGCTTGTCATGCCATGAGGAGACAAAGGCACCTGGGAGGAAGTCTCTCAATGGGAAAGCAAAGCCAAAGCCAAGGAGGGGAGAGGTAAGGGACAAAAGTACATCCCAGGGGCTGGCTCCAGTTTGCTGAGTGGAGACTCATGCAGGCTTACAGGGCTGAGCCCCTCAGGCTCTCAGGCAAGGAGCAGGTCACCAGAGCAGATCCTCCAAAGCAGCACCTGCCCAGCACACTCTGGGGGGCGTGGTCTGGCCGCCATCCTGCTCCATACCACACCCCAACTGAGACTGCTTCTGCCTCTGCACAATGAAATTATTAATTGCCTTCCCCCAAGGGGGACTTCACCATGTCATTACATGTATTCAGCCCAGTGCCTGGCACCCAGTAAACAGTGCCAAAGGGTAACCTTAACACACACGCACACCAGAACTAGGCACCTTTCACTGCTGCTGAGAAAACCCAGGCTCTGAACCCCGACTTACACCTACTTCTCACCTCCTCACACAACTATTTGCTGGGCCAGTTGTCAGAGCTCACAGCCCCATCCCAGTAGTTCCTTTGCCAATCCTTCTGTACCAACTGAGGCCATCTTTTAAAAACATAGATACCATGGTCAAAACCAGTAGGTGGCTTCCATTCATGCTCAAATCCCATTCTTCTTAGGACCTGAGATTTCTCCAGCATACTGCTCAGTCTATCTCTTCAACTTCCACACTCTCTAAACCTGTGCTGTCCATCACAGTCCAGTCACAGTGGCCCCTGAGCACCTGGAAGCAGCTAGTGCAGGCTGGTGGCGCGCAGTTAGCATCAGATACACCCTGGAGTTTGAAGACAGCATGAAAAAAAAAAGTAAAATTTTTCTGTAACTTAAAAATCATGACTATGTTGAAATAACAGGATTTTTAACATATCGGGTTAAGTGTTGCTTGTTTAATCCTTATTTTAAAAAGCACTCCAGCAGGAAATAGAAATTACATGGCTTTTTTCATTCCTATTGGACAGAGCTGCTGTAAACCAGGGCTGGTGAATTAAGCCCAGTGAACTAAATCTTGCCGCATGGCCTGTGAGCTGAGTACGGTGTTTACATTTTTAAGTGCTTGAAAATAAATCAAGGGTGACAACTTGTGACACGTGAAAAGAACATGAAATTCAAATTCCAGTTTCCATAATCGAGTTTTATTGGGAAAGAGCCACAGTCGTCTGTGTGGGGATTAACTATGGCTGATTTTCCACTACAGCGGCAGTATTGAGTGGTTCCAACAGAGACAGCCTGGCCAGTGAAGTCAAGCATACTTATGATCTGGCTATTTACAGAAAAAGCCTGTCAACACCTGCTCTAAACCCTTACCTTACTTTATTTTTCTTCCTAGCAAGTGTAACCACTGCCACTCCCGTTATATAACAAGCTCTAAAAAAGCAAGTACTTTTCCTCTTTTGTTTGGCAAATGATTATCAGTACCTAGGACAGTGCCTGGCACATATTAGGTGTTCCATAAATATCTGCTGAGTCAACACCTTTTTAAAAATTCCATTTTTGAGGGCTGTGTTAAAAGCGCCTTGCTGTTTAAAGAACATCCATCACTACTCCTACAACATACTGTCTCCATTTCTCAGCCAGAAAAGCTAAGGTTAAGACCCAAGCAAACCCTTGCAGAAGGCCGGAAAGGAGACACGGACACTTGGCCTGGTAACCTGCTGACATGAGACAGAGACCAGTGCTGCAGCCATAGTAACAGGCACATGACATTTAAAAAATAATAATTTTATTTTAATATTCATGATTTTTTATGTGTTCTTTTCCCCTTCTCACAGGGGAGAGGTAAAACTGTCCCAATTATCAAAACATTCAAATCTCCTTTTCTTTGGTGAACTGCCTGACGAGGTGCTTCCCTCCATTTCCAGGGAGCCAATTCCAGAGTCCAGTGAAGCACTTCCTGTGTCAAAGGACTCTGCTGCTTCCAGGAGCTCCATGTCGCTTCCGTCTTCCTCCAAAGACTGCTGGAACAGGTCATAGATCTTCTGCTGCTTTGGGTCCTTTGTCAGAGAAAGAAAAGATAAAGAAAAAGGCTGACTCTCCACCACTGTGGCCGTCAAGAGGACATAGTGGTGAGGGATCCGGGCTTCCCGCTTAGGAGCTGTGTGTCGGCCTGTGCAGGCAACCCAGCCAGCCATTATCACCCCAGCAGCCTGATGACCTCAGTGTCCGACATCTCTTCTTCTTCTTTTTTTTTTTTTTAAAGATTTATTTATTTATGCATACAAGAGCCAGGGTACAGGCCAGAGATATGGGGGCGAGGGTGAGAGGATTCACCAGAGTGGGGAACAGAACAGGCAGACTGACTAAATACACTGCTGAGGGGAGCAGTGGGTGAGTCAGGAGAGGTCTGCTGCGCCATGTGGGTAGCTCCCTGGATGGCCAGGGATTGAACTCGTACTGCAGAAGCTGCGAATTGCTTCATAATGCGGTGCTTAACCCTTTGCGCCACCAGGGAGGCCCTGACATCTCTTCTTTGCTGCTCGTTGGGTGCAGACATGTTGTGAGGGCCACAGAGTCTCTCACACTTCAATTTATTATGTTTTCTTTCTTCTAATGTTCCAAATCAGTGTTTCATTACTGAAATAACTCCCAAGATCTCACTCCTCCAAAGCTCATCTCCACAGATTGGTCAGAGGTGCAGTGGGAGGGTGGGGGATGGTGGTGAAAGGATTCACCAGAGGCAGAATAGGGAGCAGAACAGGCAGATCTCCTGAAATACACTGCTGAGGGAAGCAGTGGGCGAGACAGGAGGGGTCTGCTGTGCCATGTGGGTAGCTCCCTGGCTGGGGAGTGAACTCATGCTGCATTCGCTGGTAACAGCTTGATAGCATGAGACTTTAAGCCCTACACCACCAAGGAGGCCCTAATTTTTTTATTTTCTTAAGGCAAAAATTCTTAACTAACTCAAAGTAGCTGAAACTCAGGTTGCCATGAATACTATATTTATTCTTAACTAATTGAAAGTAGCTGAAACTAAGGCTTCCATGAATAAATATTTATGAGGTATAATTTATAAACTCATTCTCAATGGCTACGAATCTTTCAAAAACAAGCTCATTCTTTTCAAAAGGCATGTGATAACCAGATCTCTTAAAATATTTACCGTTATACTGAATTAGAGAGTTCCTTAAGAAGTTTAAAAATAAGTTTGTTCGAAAATTGGTTTATTAAATTTTATATCTAAAAGGATAATTTATACTCTACATTTTAAAAATGTAATCTCTACATTTTAAAAATGATTATATATCTCAATAATTATAGGAGTTCAATCTTTGGACTCCAAAGTCTTAACATCTGTCACCATGAGATTTTGCTGATTTAACTCAGCTTGGCGACTCCACAAGGAGAAGGCCCCTTGGATTTCTGAAGAGCCAGCTGCCTTTCTGTGTGAGGTCAGACCTCTGTCTGAGCTTGGAATCAATTTACTCACGAATCACCCAGGAGCAGGCAGTAGCCCCCGAATTCATACTCTCCTTGTCAACTGCCTGAGCTGGTGAAAGACAGTTTCTGGAAATCTTTGTGCTTCTCCATGGTGTTTTATCAACTGGGCTGGAGGCAACTGGGCTGGAGGCAGGCTGCTGCGTCGCCCCCTAGCCTGTCATCCCCCGAGGCCACAGGCCTTCCTCTCAGCAACTCTGAGGAGTCAGCCCACCTGGCCCTGGAACGGGTGCTCACTAGCCTCTGACCTTCCTTGTAATAAGTGGGGCGGTCACAGGGAGAAGGCTGGGCTGGGTTCTGAAGCCTTCTACCTTGGGCTGGCTTCAGATCACCCACGACTCTGGGCAAGTATTATTGCTCTGCATGCCTCAGTTCACCCCTCTAAAAAATGGTCAGTCCAAACAATGTTTTCTCTCTGCTGTCACATCCCTCAGCTGATTAGCCAGTGGCCACAGCCCTGGTGAGAATAAAATGCATCAACAGAGGGGAAAATGCTATTTAAAAGCAATTCTCTATTTTAAACACTCCCCAGTCTATGCTGGGGACGTGTTCCCATGACAGCCCTGCCGTGTGGTGTTGCTATGCACTTTTTTGCAACAATTCAACAGTTGCCATGGCGAGTTTTCTGTCAGCTTCTGATAGCCTGATGGAAGAGACAGCAATTACAAACTCTGGTTTTATGAGAACTGAGCCCACATCAGAAGCAGTAGGAGTTGATGCCATCAGTTCTCCATAAAGGAAGGCAAACATGGATTGACCTAGTGTGATTATAGGCCAGTCATTTTCTGCCCCTAGGTTGGGGGAGGACCCGGAGAAGATTCACACTCTCCTGCTCAGGACCCAAGGGCCTAATGCCTCCTGCTGTCCCACATGGCCAGGAGCCATGTGCTGCAGTTACCTTATAGAAGTAATCAGTAGCTTCCGTCATTTCTGAAAAATTGGCATCAGAAAGCCCAGCTTCACCCAGAACTTTAATCTTCTCTTGAATCAGGGGCCTGTTGGGGAGAAAGGAGCTGCAGTGAGTCCAACCTGCATGGAACTAGTGGAGTGATTAGCCTCCATCCTGCAGTACAGCCCCTCTCAATGTAAACCAACTGATTTAGGGCTCATGCCATCAGGGTCAAAATTTTTTCTACTAGAAGATGTGTGGGAAATAAATGCTGCCTCATTACAACAAAATTTTGTACTTGGTGTTATGAGCTGGTCAGTTAACAAATTTACTAAACAAAAAGGGCAGTGGGGGTCACCTGCACAGTCTGAGGTTGGAGACGGAGACCAGCAGTGGAAACTAATGAAGCAGTCAAGAAACTTGGCATGAAGGCAGAAATGGGACTAGGCAGAGGAACATCTGGGGACTCTTTGCTTTGATTCCAGACATGACCCCAGGTTATAGCACCCATGGCCCAAGATGAGCCACTTTCTCCCAGTGGCCCACAGCACTGCAGGAGGGGGCCTAGTGCACCAACACATGTCAATAAATGGGGTTGGGGGACTGTCATCCTGCTTCAACAAGCACCTGTGTGGCCAGGAAGTGCTCCAGCACAATCAGGTCCCCTTCCTTGTCTCAGGCCAGCGGAAAAGGACCCACAATAATTCCTGCAAGCCACCCGCAGGGTCATGAAGAAAGTGAAGGATGGAACTAGCAGGCCTTCCATTGGGATCCCCAAAGCCAAGGGCAGAAGTACTTAGTGAGCTAAGGAAATACAATGTTGTCAACTCTTGCTCGGTCCTAAATGCCAGGCCAGCATCAGCCGTACCAGAGGTAGTCGTCAGCTGTGCCTTTCGCCACGAGGTAGTGAATGCCCACGGAGCTTGACTGGCCGATGCGGTGCACCCGGTCCTCAGCCTGGATCAGCACCTGTGCAGCCCAGGGGTTGGGATGTAGGTGGGTCAAGACCAATGCAGCTAAGCCCACCTACCCCCAGCCTACCGCATCCCAGCCTCCTTAGAGCAGTCTGTCTTCTCACGTGGCAGTGGGCCTACCTCCACCCACCAGCAACCTGTCTTCTACAAAAGACAAAGCCAATGCAACAATGGCCGGGGGGGTTAAGTCTGCAGCTGGACAGCTGTGCATGGCCTTTCAGTGTTGGGCTCAAGCTGCTGTTGAGCTAGGCTGCTGCTGAGTTGTGTGGTGAAGGACCCCGGAGGAAAGCCACACATTTCTCGTCCCCCTGGGAGATACAGTTTTCAACTAAATAAACAGCAGACTCAAGGGAGAAGCCTATGACTGGAGGCAGGGTGGTCTTTTAGATGGAGGTTAGCTCTGCAGGGAGTACAGCCACCACGAGTGATGTTCCTGCTAGCGAACACTTTCAACCACAAAGTCCACCCATCACACAGCCGCCAGCTGTGAGGCACCCACGTGGAAGTGGCTTCTCATGTGAGAACACGAGAGGGAAATGACTTCTTTCTAAATGTCAGGAGAAAATGCTCAGTCCAAACAATGTTTTCTCTCTGCTGTCACAGCCCTCAGCTGATTAGCCAGTGGCCACAACCCTGGTCAGGGAACGCCCAAGCTGTCACCACGTCACATCTGCAAAAGTGGCTGGCAGTGATGGTTCATGGAAGGGGTCAGAGGCAGGAAAGCCAGGCCTGGGCTGCATGTGCTTGCTCCCCTACATGACAGCTTGCCCTTGAGGTACTGTACCCCGGTTTCCTCAGACAGTGGAACTCTGACTCCTTCAAGCATCTAAAACATCAGTTTTCCTACTGGTAAGATGGAGTCAGTAATCTTACCACTTAGCTGGTTGTCCTGAAGACTGGCACAAGGGAAATACAAACCTACTTATGAGGGCCTACAACAGAGGGCGAGGGGCTGGATGCGAGCCTGCTCAGAGCGCTGACACTTGCTCCTCTCCGTTGGCAGCTGGGAGCAGGCCAGGAGAATTCACGTCTCCTGCGTCCCTTACCCCTGGGTTCCAAAATAGCTCGGCAAACACCACCAGGTCAGCTGAAGAGAAGGTGAGGCCCATGTTGGCGGCAGTGATGGACAGCACGGCCACGGCGTGCCGCTCGGACAGCTGGAACTGCTGGCACAGGCGCTCTCGGTCAGCTGAAGAGGTGGTGCCATCGATGCGGATGTGCTGCACGTGCTGCAGGAACAAGGAGGGAAGCCAGTGGGCACGAAGGGCGGGGCTCCCGCTGCCATGCTTGAGGACAGAACCTGAGAACAGAACCAGCTGCTCTTCTGGCTCAAGTCTGAGTGGAACATCAAGTTCTCACCTGATGCTGCTTTTGTGGCTTTTCTTATATCTTTCAAACTGAAATCTGTGTTGAGGTAATTTTAGAGTCACAGGACATTTAAGTAATAAAACAATGATTCCCTGTGCACCTTGCTCAGTTTCCCCCAATGGTTGCTTTCTGCAAAACTCTAGTGCAGTGTGGCGATCTGATTGGCTCTGATACAAGCTACTGCTCTTGTTCAGATTACCCATGAGTGTGTGTGATACAACTGTCTCCCTGGTGGGTGTCACACACCCACCACTGGCCACCCCACACTGCCCGCCCCCACTGTCCCAACTTAACTGTCCTGCCCTTCTCAAATGTGTCATTTTAAGAAAGTTACAGAAATGCAGCCATACAGTGTGTATACCCTTTGGGTTTTTTTTATTCCACTCAGCACCATTCCCTGGAGATCCCTCCCAGTTGAGCGTGTTGGTAGTTTCTTCTTTTTTATTGCTGAGGTGCCAGGGGAGGTACACATAAACCAGGTTAGCTACCAGCTGCTGAAGAATATCTGGGTTGGCTCCAGTTTGGGGTGACTACAAATAAAGCTGCCATGACCATCTGTGTTCTGTGAGAACATGTTTCCATTCCTCTGAGGTAAACGCCCTGGAGTCAACTGCTGGGTCGTGTATGTTAGCTGCAGTCTTAGTTTAACTTATTTTCTTTTGAGAATCACTTACTTATTCTCATGACAAGGACAAATATTATAAGGAAAATAAACTATTAACATCTACGTTTTCCTGTCACTTTTTTTCTCAATGTGTATAGCATATCTTTTCAATAGAAAGTTTTATATTCTGCTGTTCTCCAATAAACATTACATTACAAATAAGGTGAAATATTAAAAATTTTTCTAAAACAAGATTTTTAATGCATGTATAATATTTCATTATGTGGCACTAGTAAAACTGAACCATGCATCTATTTCTTCACATGGGTGGGATGTTCTAATTTTCACTAACAAAGGGTTGGTTTGCCAATGTCCACTGATAGGGGAATGGATAAAAAATTTATAGTTTATGCATACAATGGAATATTGGTCAGCAATAAAAAGACAAACTGTAGATACACGTAGTATGTATATATCTCAGAATATGCTGAGAGAAAAACCAGGGGGAAAAAGAAAGCGTACCATATGATCTCACATTTACAAAGCTCTAAAAATCATCAAGTAGTTTACAGTAATAGACAGCACATCAATGGTAACCTGAAGATAGGTGGGAAGTAAAAAGTAGGAAAGCAATGACTAAGGATATGAGAAGTCTTTTGGGGTTGACAGATATGTTGAGTATTTTGGTTCCTACTATACTGTACTACTTTAAATATGCACATTTTAAATATGTGCATTTTATTGCATGGCAATTATATTTTAATAAGGTAATTAAAAATTTAAAAAAAATGAAACGATGCATTAAAATGAACTGGTTCATGGTTGTTTGCCCACATTTGGTTATTCCCTTAAACTAGACTATTAGAAATCAAAGCATTATGGCAAAAGAGAAAAGCTGAATTTAGGACATCTGATTTTACTGCCATATTACTTCCCGGGAAGTCATGTACGAACATGGCCAGCTTGCCACACAGAGGTGAAAATGGCAAGAACATCTGTACTGCTGATTTGATGGGTTTTTAAAAAAAGTATCTTCTTACAACCTTCATTTATTTGATTACTAGTGGAGCTGAAGTTTTTCATATTTCAGATTCTGAAGGGTTCGGTGATCTCCAGAAAGTTAGGAACCACTGATTCACATTATCATATTTATGGTGGAGTGGACTGTTGTTCAAAGGTATACCTACAGATGAACACTTAGATTTCTAATCATTCAATATTATAAAGCGCAAATGGCTAATATTCTTGTATGTAAATATTTTCTGATTGGTCTCATTTGTTTCCTTAGGATAAATTACTACAAGAAGAGCTTGGAAAAGTTGGTGCATACATTTAAGTTATTGCCAAATTGCCCTGTGAAATGTCCTGAATGTTCAAAGGACCATGATTTAACCACAGTGCATGTGTGTGACAGAAAGGATCCATATTTTATGTAATTTGAATCAATTTATTTTCCTTTAAAATTTTTTCATTGTTTTTATACCCAAAAGTCATTCCCGGCCCAGGAAGGAGCTACACGTTCATCTATATTTTCTTATGATACTTTTTGGGCTTAAGGAGTTTTGATAATCAGCAAGGTAAAGTGTCATTTAAGTTTCTTCCCTAATTACTTAGCCAATTACCCAAACAAAACCTGATTCCACTTAATTCCTTGATCATGTATTTGTTTTTCTTATCCTTTTATACAAAGGGAATTACATTTTATTCAACCCATCAGGTCACCCGTTCTTGGACAAGCAGAATGGATTGAGAGTTGTCAACATACTGTCCAACAATTACAGTTAATGAACTGCACGTGCAACACTGTATAAAGAAATCTCAGTGCCTCCCTGGTGGCGCAGGGGGTTGAGCACCGCACTGTGGAGCTGTCCGCAGCCTCTGCAGTGCAGGTTTGATCCCAGCCAGCTGGCGGGAATCCCACATGACGTGGCAGACCTCTACTGTCGTGCCCACTGCTCCCCTCAGCAGTGTATTTAGTCAGTCTGCCTGTTCTGTTCCCCGCTCTGTCTCTAGTGGATCCTCTCACCCTCCCGCGCATCTGGCCTGTGCCATGGTTCTTGTATAAGAATAAATAAATCTTTAAAAAAAAAAAAAAAAGAAATCTCAAAATAATGTTGAGCAAAAAAGTAAATTATAGGATACTTGTATTTTGTTGCCATTTATGTAAACTAAAAAAATATACATAATGAGACTATATATTGTTTAAGGATATATTAAACAATATATCCTTATATATATTATGATATCTAGTTGTTCTTTTTTTTTTTTTTTTGAAGATTTATTTATTTATCCATACAAGAACTGGAGTACAGGTCAGAGGTGTGGGGGGTGAGAAGATTCACCAGAGACAGAGTGGGGAATAGAACAGGTGAACTGACTAAAATATACTACTGAGGGGAGCAGTGGGCGAGACAGGAGAGGTCTGCTGCACCATGTGGGTAGCTCCCTGGCCGGGGATCGAACTCGTGCTGCAGTGGCAGTGGATAGCCCCATAGGTTGCATCTTAACCCCTTGAGCCACCAGGGAGGCCCTGATATCTATTTTTAATGAACATCCTTGGAAATACTTCTAGATAGTTTTCATTCAATTTAACAAGAAACACGATACTAAACTGATATTTGCGCGTGGCCCTATAAAATAGCGCCACTTTGACAGTAAGTAGTAAGGAGGAACAAAAAGGAAGGGGGGGGGGACATTCACACAAATACTTGTCTCCAATAAGAGAATGATTTTTGCCATCCCCACTTGTCAATTTTGTTAATTATTTACACAGAATGATGGAACTGGCTGGGCCATGTTCCTAAGGCAAGATACCTGGGCTATCTTTATAAAGAGCAGAGGAAGTTACAGGACACTGCTGGGAAGATATTTTGACCCCACTGAGATTCTACAAGAAAGAAGAATGCTTTTTCAGAAAGTCCTCAGCATTGTGTCTAAAAACCATCTTGCAAACAGAAGACCTTATGCCTGATCTCAGCTTGCTTAAAACAACTTAGCAGCAAACACAATGAAAGCACCTTTGTTGAATTTCAAAGGGAGCTTACCTTTCTCTCCAGCTCGTCAGTAATTGCATCCAGAACCACCTTATGGTGTGCAAACACTAGAAACTTCTCTCTTCCACTTTCCAGTAGGTCCAGGATATATTCACTGCATTTGACAATGACAGCACAGTAAGTTAAACACATATTCTCACCCAGCTGAAGCTACGTACTGAAAAGTGACTGCATCTGTAGCACCCGCCCCAGTCCATTCCCTCTGTTCTCTGAGAACTGACCTCTTCTCCTCTCCCTCATGCCAGGTAACGCAAATTGAGGAAGCAAAGTTAGGAGTTGTGGAAAGCCATCCTGTGCCACATACAGGAAGAGTTCTTTGATACTCTACAGTCAACTTCCATGCACAAAGTGTCCTGATGACTTATGTGCTGGCATGTGACTGAGACTTTCTTACTAGCTGAGGTCCTAGAAAATAATTAAGAATTTCCACTATCATTATATTTTCAATACAAATTGAAGTGTTTTCTATAGACCTGAAAATACCCAGGCAGGGGATTAAGGGATTCTTGACAGTAATCAAATTTCTGAAAGTGTAATATTGAGATATATATAAAAAACAAAAGAGCTGATCAGGGAATACTCTTCAGCTCTTTGCTAGACTCAAACTACAGGGCCAGTCACTAAGCCAGGGGTAATCTAATTATTTTCTGAAGCAAAGGGATATGGAGTGAAGAATCTTATATACTTGGTCTTTATTCTCCCCGTGATTTACCTGTCTCCTCTATCCACTCTGTTTTTCCTTGACTCCCCATCCCCTATCTTTAACCATGGCCTTCCAGGAAGGCAGCCACCCAGATAGAGAGTTGCCCAGTCAGCAGACCCATTCTGTAGGATCTGTGCCCTGAGGAGGGCTCACAGTTCCAGTACAGTCACTGCTCCCACCCGCAATGGGAAGCTTCCTCGACACAAGAGGCCTTTACCCGCCTGAGGCCATCCCCACAAGTGGGTGTGTGTGGAGAGATAAGAGCCATGGTCCTCCTCAGAAAAGAAAAATTGCAAAGGCTTTCTGTTATAAACAGGTGGTGAGGAGGTAAGCGAACTGTCCTCTAAACATAAGAATTACTTTAAAACAACACCATGGCCAGTCAGGGTATACAGATTTGAGTTCAATTTGTGATCTGTTGATTGTAATAGAATCTGTGTTAATTGGTTTGTCAGACATAAAAATTGCCATGATATAAGCAAAAAAGTTATTGCTATAGCATCAGAAAGTCACAAGGCCATAAAATCAACTTGGTCAGCTCATAAAAACCACAGGCCCCAATTTTCCTAATGTCTCTCTCCCCTCTATGTTTCAGATATGACTGTGCAGTTCTACCCTCCCCCAAAGTCCCTTAGTTACTAGGCTGGAAATATTTGCCTACAACAATAACCTTGCTTTTATATAGAAAGATGTCCATTAAAATAAAAACAAACAACAGCAAAAAAGGGGAAAAAACAATTAGAGGAAATGGGGGTTTTAAGATTTATAATCTAATTTCCATTTACTAGCTGCATAACTCTGAGGTCTAGAGGTCTACTTGAGATTTACTCAGTTTCTGCAAAATGTAGTCATATGTGACTTACTCGACTTGAAAAGTAGAGACAAAAGATGCCAATATGGTTCAAAGTTCTAAGGCACCAAATAATTTGATTCTGGAAAAGTATGTATAAGGTATGCATGTTATAGACTGAATGTCTTTGTCCCCACTCACCCCAATTCACATGTTGAATCCGAACCCCTACAGTGATGGTATGAGAAGGTGAAGCCTTTGGGAGGTGATTAGGTTATGAGGGCAGGGCCCTCAGAAATGGGGTTTGCACGGTTACAAGAGACCCCAGCTTGCACCCTTGTCACTTCCACCAAGAAGGAAGTGAGAAGACAGCTGTTGGGAAGCCATGAAGAGGGCACTCTGCAGATGGGGGATCTGTCAGCACCTCGACCTTGGACTTCTCGGTCTCGAGAACTGTGAGAAATACATGTTTATTTTTTAAACTACCTAGACTATGGTATTTTTGTTCTAGCAGCCTGAATGGACAAAGACAAGGTATGAGCTCAGTTTATTTATGAGGTGGCAAAATGATTAGATTAAAATTTCTAAGGGAAATGGGTGGTTCCGGACCCAATTTTCAATGGATCCTGTATTTTATAGGTCACAAGCAGAGGGCCCGAGGGAAGACTCCTACCCTTGCCATCTGCTCTTCAGCAGCACATGATAAAGGGGCTGGGGGGAGGCAACTCTGATTAGTTCTGAGAGGTAAGTTTTCAGGCCATAAAAACCACATCTGGAGTGCATTAGTCTCCTAACAGTATCAGAATAAATGAAAAGGGCAGTGCCCACAGGGGGAAGGAGAGCCGCAATGTCAGCAGTCATTGGTGTAGAATCTTAGATTTGAATATTATGGCAAACTCAGCCTCTTACCACATTAAAGGGGCAGAGGGCAAGCCTGGCGAGGCTGGGAGACCTGGAGGCTGGGCCAGCTGTGTGTGTCTCAATTTATCCACTGATCTAAGGCCCCACAGCCAATCTGGCATCGCTCACCACACACTAAACTCACTTCCGTTGTAATTTTATCACTTGCACCATTATCCTGCCAGAGTCTCACAAGAATGTTAAACAACAAAAAATTTAGACAAACTGCCCATCATTAGAATGGCCTCAAGTTTGTACCACAGTGATTTCTGAACATGAGTAGGTTTTTCTTTCTTTAGGGCAGACAACTGAGATTTTTTTCAAATCAGTGATTAACTGTAAAGAACAGAAATTATTACTTCAACTTTTGTTTTCATGGCAGAAGGAAAACTAAGTGTGACGTGTCTACTTGCCTGTATCTTTTGAACAAACTTTGATATTCACCTCTTTATTTAAATAAATAATGATAGAAACTTAATTTTGGAGAAGGCCAGAGAACCCCATTAGGCAGTTTTCATGAATCCCCTAATTTCTTCCTGAGGCAAGTGACCACAGTTTCCTAGAGGAAAAACCCCCTTGGGCCCTCTGCTTGTGACCTATAAAAACCCCTTTTAGTGGCTGGGTCAACCCCACCTGCCTGAGTGGCAGAAGCTCCAGGCTGGGCTCTGACAAGAAGTGCTACCACAGCTTCCCGAGCATACCTGACAGCCCTCCAGGGACAGGCCCACTTACACCTGTGGGTGATGAGCCACACCGCCCTAAGTTTTACATTCAAGTTATAATTATAATCTCGATCATTTCTTACAGAACAGCAAAACTGTTCTGGCAGACCTATGTGACAGATGGTCCTTTTTAAAGATGAGATTGAGAGAAGGAGCATCTGGCGCGTACTTACATGATAGACGGGATTTTAGCTTCTGCTGTACTGTTGAAGAACATAATGAGGGCTTGTTTCTGTTTCTGTTTCTGTGGAAAAAAATCGAGGGTTAAAAGTCTCCTGTTCTGAGAAGTCTGGGACAAGATGATGCCATTACTGCCACGATGAGCTTTACAAATCCTGACACAACCACCAGGCCTGGACACGCTCCACTGACACCGACTTGTCCACTTGCTTTAGGCAAACACAGGAACTGTCTGGACTCTGGTTCTGTCCTTGAAGACATGGCATCACAGCGACTCTGTCATCCTCTGAGCTGTTGTGAGGATCCAATAATGAGGCAGGAACATGAAGCTCTCTGGGAAAGCGCATCAGGCAGGGCTTCACTGCACATGCAGAGCACATGTGATCAGCTGAAACTTGCTAAGCACACCTATTTACTACAATGTGGTGACAATATGTTTCATGGGTGACATCAGCCTAAACTATTTTTGCCTCCCCTTTTCTTCTGCCAAGTGCGTCCACACCCAGCTGATAAAGCTCACCTCTTTCTAAGACTTACTGAATCAATTCCAACTGCCCTTGAGTAGTAGTTGATTCCACCTCCATCTCAGAACAACTGACTCATCTCCCACATAAGGTAACTGACCTCCCAGGAAGAAACTATGTTCTTTATAGTTTGCATCTAATCAAACCTAAGAAAGAATGCTAAGAGCATATACTCACAGTTTTATCATAATGAGGTAACATTTACTCTCAACTGTGGACTCCAGAGATGATACTCTGTTAGCATCCTTGGGGAGGCAGCCAACTCCTTCCACAGCAAGCATGGGTTCCTATAGACACTTCTACTTTCTCATCCTTGGGCCCTGGGAGGCCAGTGACTGATGGGATAGCCTCCTCGTGGAATAAAGACAGAATTCAACAGTAGCAACATCTATGGCCCTGAACTTGCTCCTTCAGGGTACTCACTAATTCAGGGAAGTAGCAGAGCAAGACGGTGCCTAAAATTACCGACATTGTAGACAGCAGGCCAGTTGCCTGCACCAAAGAGAGTTTTGATTTTGAGGATTGTCTTTCTTCCAGTTCCTGATGAGAAAGAAAGGTACCCAAGAACCTCAAGAATTATGTGGTGGGCACTGACAGGGCAGGGGGCCCATTCATTCCCATGTATGTTGTGGCTGTGTGGCCCTTGTGCCCCCAGTTTGTGGTAGTATCCAATTAAGCAACTCAAACTTCCTGGGAACTCACGTTGAAGGGGTGACACCATGGCCATGTGCCTTAACTAGTTCTTTACTCACAGGCCCAGAGGAGACTACAGTGAGGCCCTGGCCACACACACAACCTCACCTGTGGCAATGAGTTCACAGGCCCTTCACATGCCTTCAGAGTCCCTGCAGCAGGTTAGGCCTCTCACCTAATGCCATCCCTAGTAGGATGGGCTAAAGCAACATGCACTGACCACCTCTCTCAATGCATGTAGCTTCAAGGTGATGCCCCTCCCCCACCTCTTACCCCTTCATCACCCGCCCCGCCCCCCATCATCCTCAGCACAATCTTACTCCCGTGTCCTCCAGACTCATTCTTCCTAGTGCATTTCCCTGCTCACACTCACTCACTCCAAACTTGCTAATAAGAAAGGGAGAAGGCAAAACAGATGGAGAAATGACAAGAAGCACTTTGAGAACCTTGCCCCAAGATTTAACGCCTAGCGCTAAAGAGGATGTGAAGAAACAAGTTCCTTCACCAGATCCAGCACTCGTCCATCGCCTGCCGTCTGGGGAGCATTTGTACCACAAGCCTTCTGAGAATGCCCACAGCCCACGACGCAGCATCTCATTCTATAAGATTTATCCCCATGATAGAAGGGGATGTACACAGATTCATAGGTAAGCTACTTTTTCAGTGTGGCATTAATTACTCAGAATAATGAGTGACTGAAATAACTCAAAAGTTCCAACTAAAAATGACTGACAATACGAATAGGGCCATGTCAGAGAATATAATGCATATTTAAAATATGATGTTTTTAAAGAACATTCAACAACATGGAAAAGTGTTCATTATACACTTTTATAACCTTCCCACGTGATGTATAATTGTGTGATCTCAATTCTTTTAAAAAATATCATTACATACTTAAGTGATATTAAAATGTATATATGACACATAATTTAAATCAAAATATATATACATTTTACAGAAACACCAACATGATTTAAACCAAGATTATGTGACACAGAAGATGGTTGAATCTTTTTTATACTGTCATAATAAAAATATGAAATAAGTGTTACTTGTAAGTATTTTTCAGATTATAGACAATAGACACCTACTGTAGTTTTGATGTGGGAGAAATTGATAATTTTATCTTAAAAACAAAACAAAAAAAATTCCCCCAAACCGGGTAGACACAATACTAGTCCATTAATGATCTCACTTCCTTTGCCAACCATACCAGGAAATATTAAATGGCCTGCATTTTTTGTTCTTGCTTCTCAGACTTTCATTATATTAGATCCACTGGGGTCTTGAATTTATTTTTCCATGTTGGAATTTGAATGGATAGTCAAAAGGCAGAAGGGTGAACTGATATTGTCACTAGGAAGTCTTCATGGACTTGTTCCACTTTTCTGTTCCTGGTCTTGCGGATCAAAAAGTGGCTTTAGACAAAAAAGGATTAGAATCAGTTGTTTTTTTTTTTTTTCAGCCTGTGAAACGGCATCTATTATTCCAGCTGAATATGAGAAAAAGATTTCGTTCTACCTTATATTTTATAAATTGGCTGCCTCACCCTTGGCTTCTGTGATTTAAAGCTTGTTAAAAAATACTTTCCTCCAGATGGGAAGGGGTGAGGGAACAAAAAAAGAATCATTTCTGGACAGATAGCAGTGATTTGCTGAAGCCACCAGAATGTGAAAATGTCAAGGAAACTTGGGGCTAAATGCAACTAAGGAAATAAGAAGGGGTACTTTATGGAGATTCACAGGACCTCCTTATTTCACTAAAACCATAAAACCGCAATACCCACTTTAACTCTTCCCATTCAGGATTTCACAGCCGGTCAGGGTGAAAGGGATGTCCGTGGCCATTCAGTCCACTCCCAGCTGATACTGGCTCTGCTTCCTCCGTCAGGTTAGGACCCACTGTTTACAGATGCACCAAATGAGTGGGCTTTTGAGTAAGAAAGATTCTAACGTTCAAAGCACAAAGCTTATAAATTCATTTACTACTTGGATTTTCTATGATAAAAAAAATGAATTTACAGTAAAGAACACAAAGGGAGCCAAGTTTTCAAGGATTAATCTATCACTGGAAAGAATTTAGTACATGGTTTCAGCGTCATGCTGATAATTTGTACCAGTCACAGTTTCTCCCTTTTAGGGATAAACTTTTAATTTTCCCAAGACTCCAAGGAAGTAGGCAGCAAGTGTCCAGCAGTGCTGCAGGCTCTTTCCCAGCTGGATTCTGGAAGCATCACACTGCAATTTAGGCTTTGCTTTCATAATCTGCAAAATAGCATTAAGACTCCAGGGTGGGGGCCTCCCTGGTGGCCTAGGGGTTAAGTCTCAGCACTATCACTGCTATGGTCTAAGTTCAATCCCTGGCCAGGGAGCTGACCCACATGGCACAGCAGACCTCTCCTGCTCTCGCCCGCTGCTCCCTTTAGCAGTGTATTTCAGTAAATACACGTGTTCTGCTCCCCACTGTCTCTGGCAAATCCTTTCACCCCTGTACTTCTAGCCTACACCCCAGTTCTTCTACACACACACACACACACACACACACACACACACACACACACACACACACTCCAGGGTGAAGAAGCAGAGATGATAGTCTCACACAGGGGGTACTTTTTGTGCACTAAGCCTCAGAGACAGGTTCCAGTTTCCTTTTTTTAGGTAAGAAAGCATCAAAATATCTCACAGAATATAAGGGATTTGCATTGCTAGTAGAAGTGATAAAACACTAGTCCCTAGTTCCATTTTAGTAATATCACATCACTACTAGCAAAATGAGAAATTAAACTTTCAGGTTCCATCTAAAATCATGTTTGGGAAGAACTACCCATTTAACTTGAGGAATTACGCTAGTTGTTTTTCTTGTCTGGCAGTTTGTTAGTGGGCAAATGCTAGAGTAGCAGACAACAGAGGTTTATAAAGTTCTAAGAAAACACTTGAAAAGTTCTAATAAAATGCCCAATCACTGAAATTTTATCTTGAGAAACAGAAAAAGACCACTAAAGCTTATTTTAGCACAGAACACCCTGGTTCTTCTCGTGGGTCCCCTGAAATATAATTTGAGAACCACTGGTTTCCATGTCCACATCAATGCTATAGAACATAGTTTGAAAACTCCACAATGGAGATCCAGGTCATCCAGATTTTTACATGAAAAATACAGCATAAATTAAATATAGCCTGACAACACACCAGGGTATCCTCTAGTTACTTGCTAGTCTCATTCACCGCATGCACGTGGTAAAACAATGTAAAACATCACGCATTCTGTCTCCTCTTGACATTCTTATTTATTCTGTAACCTCTCAGAAGGCAGAGATCTCATCTACATCTAAGTTTCTTTATCCAGGGTAGTATTAAGCACAGACAATGCTTTATGATAATGTCAAAAATGTCAATGATTGTTTTCTTAGTAATAGAAATTGCAAGGTTTTATCCCAACAGTACAGAAATGGAGTTACTGTAGATTACCTTATTGCACTTAGCACAGTATGACACCAAAGAGAGATATGAAAGTGTTTTGAAAAGATAAACCACCACAGTAGAAAAGAGTCCTAAAATAAAGGGTAAGCGGTGTGGTTATAGCTTCAGCTCCACCACGAAGCAGCCAGTATCTTGGGCAAATCAAAATCTCTGGGAAGGAAACTCAGTTTCCTTCTCTGTAAAATGAAGATGCCAACTTCCTGCCAACTATAAATGACTGTAATAAGGAGTCTGGGTTAAGAGAGTGGGAAAATCTACTTTGTTATATAAATGTCAATTTGCTATTTTGATGAAGGCACATGACACGAGATAGAGGTTAACACATGTATCGACTACATGGGGGACTGACTGCTAACCACTGTTACTAGGCTCGAGGCATTCTCATTCCAGAATACATAGCACCATCCTGCAGTTGTCTAAGGTTTATTTTTATGACCATCAGGCAACAGTGATCCGCATGACCCTTAAACTGCAAATTCCCAAGAGCTGTTGGAAGCAGGCTGGGTGAGCTGAGAAATGAAATGGGCTCACTGTCCCTGCCCAGGGAGTAGAAGAGGCTTACAAGGACAAGTTCAGGCAACTCTGGCTAATCCACAACCACCCCCCCACGCCTCCACCCCCAACCCGCTCCCTCCCACCCCATGCCCCCGGCCCCAGACTGATGGCTGTGGAAACATTGCCTTCCACTTCCCCACCCTAGGCCCAGACTCACGCTGCTGTCATTGGTCATCTCCTTGGCAGCGGTGTCCAGGGCAGCTCTGACCTTGGCACTGAAGTGGCCAGGCGCAACCACCACCATCTTGCGCTGCTTGGGTGGCAGCTGGGAGAGGACATCGCATTTGAGACGGCGCAGCATGACCGCTTCCTCTAGCAGCAGCTTCAGCTCCCGCAGGTTGGAGGAGCCCGAGTAATCCCACCCCCAGGAATGCTGTGGAGACAGAAGCGGGATAGCCCATGAGTTTTTTTGGGGCCTAGTGAACAGAGCTGCAGCCTCCAGGTGGGTGTCCCTTCTCACAACCTCCCTCCCTGGTTTTGCTCAGGGAATTTCAAGTGGCTTCAGGGGATGTATAAGGCTCTATGTAAGGGAAAAAGGAAGTCAGGAATGGTGTGAACAAAAAACATGTATCATGATTCTATAATCTGGTACCAAGTTTCTAGCAGCAAATGCAAGATGTCAAGAGGTTTGGTGTTTATTATATCCAAAATCAAAACATCTAGCTTGTGAGATATTTCCTGCAAGCTAAGTACAAAAATAATCTTCCTTAGGGCTCATCCTACAGAGTCCACTGCACAATGTGATAAATAAAAAAAAGCTGTCAGTAATATTGTTCTTTGATGAAAATCACAAGACTTAGTGTGGGTTATGCCAACACAATCGAGTACAATGCAACTCAGTGTTGGTGGTGGCGGTGGGGATTCAAGGGCATACCTAGAACACAGCCTGGCTGACCAGAGTGAGCAGGGAGTCCTTCACAGACATGCTTCCCTCCCCTCAGAATGTTCTCTGCCACACAGCCAGGACGGTGCTGCCAAGTAAAATAACCCTCTTGTTCACTAACAACTTTAATGGAAACAGACTGATTTCACAGTCTTATTAAAATCAGGGAACCAGGAGGTCTGCTGCCTTATATTTTTAGTTGCTCATCTCCCCGTTCCTGTCTCACCCTCCCCTGGACTGAACTACCTCGAGCAGGAGCTGGGGAGTTCAATTTTGAGGGTCAGAGGGCCCAGTATAATTGTGGAGACATGGTAGGTATCCTGTAAAACTTTGTTAAATTGAGACTAGGAAAAGAAGCCAAATCAGTGGGAAGTTCTCAGCAATTGCCATGGGGTGGAAAATGAACTTGGCATGGGATGCTCTCTTCGGTGGTTCTGCTTAATTCCAAGAAGCTGGACACACACGCAAACACACATGCTGCCCTGGCCTGCCAGCTGCATTAAATAAAAATCATGCTGGCTCTTGTGGCTGCTGTAACTTATTTAGATATTATACTCCTAAGTTCTAATATTGTCAGTCCTTATCTTGCAGGTTAAAACTGAAAGAATTTAAACTGGAATTTGGAATAATGACAGTTTAACAAGCCTTAACTGAAAACTTACCCTCTACCAGGCACTTATTGGGCGGTGGGGGTGCTGGAGATGGATGGCTGTGAGGAGGAAGGGCAAACTGAGACAGCATGAAAGACTGGGGAGATGAGGACCTGAGTGCCAGGAAGGGACGGTCTGTCACCAACTCTGTCTTCAGCCCCTATATTACCCGATGGGCCCAGGTGGTGGAGGCAGAGAAAGTTCTTTTCAGAAAGTGGATCACTGCAAACGGGGCAGATGACACATGAAGAGTTGGAAGGGCCATGATGATCATATTCAACTAATCTAATCTCGACAGCTTCATGGGGAAAGTGCATTACAGGCTGTTAAAGAAGTATACTTTTAAATATATTTAATAACAGAAACTTTCTGCCTCAACAAGCAGCTAAAAATAGTTTGCAATTAATTTTGCAAAGCACTACCACTTACATTATAAATGCTTTAAATATAAGTAGGTATTTTTAAAGTACTTGAAAGATTTTTTTTTTCTTTTTTTAAGAATATTTTAACAAGGGCCTCCCTTCGTGGCGCAGGCAGTTGAGTGCCACCTTGTGAAGCTGTCTGCAGTCTCTGGAGCGCCAGTTTCACCCCAGCCAGCCAGTGAGGGTCCCACATGGCGTGGCAGACCTCTCCTGTCTCGCCCACCGCTCCCCTCAGCAGTGTATTTCGTTAGTCTGCCTGTTCTGTTCCCTGCTCTGTCTCTGGTGAATCCTCTCACCCTCCCATGTATCTGGCCTGTGCCCTGGTTCTTGTATAAATAAATAAATATTAAAAAAAATATTTTAACAATAAGACAGACCATTTACATCATAACTTGCACAACAAAGCTTCTTGCTCATAGATGGCAAGAGCAATGTATTAGCCACAGTCATTTCTCCCAAATGTCAGAGTCTTTGATGTAAATGGTGGCTGGGAAAATGTGTGATGTGATCCCAGAACAGGAATCCCCAAGTTCTGAATTAATTAGGTTATAGATTTTGGTGAGTCCTAGGCAGCAGGGGCATGACCCACAAGAAAGAAGAAGTCGGGGAGTGGGGCATGTGGCCTTAGGGCTTATAGCAGAAACACCAGGGAAAAGGAGAAGCCATTTGCAGAGAAGAAAGGGTCAAATTCTTATTCAGGGGCAAGTGGAACCTCCTGGAAAGAGAGTTCAGGAGTTTGAGAAGTCTGACCTTGCCAGATAGAGGACTACTATTGAAGCATGAGTTCAATGCCCTGGTCACAGTTTGAAAGCAGGGATAAGCAAGATAAAAGAGTGACTCTTCCCTTCCAATTTTCCCAGGGCTCAGGAATGAGATGGGGGCTGGTCCCACCCACACGTTGCTTGTTAGCAAGGACATCAACTGGGATTTCTACTTCCATCTGTCGAAGCAAACTGATGAGCCCTTGTCAGGTCTGGAGAGAGTGAAGAAGGCACTAAAGACAATGAGGAGGAGAAGACCCTTCCCAAAAGAGGAGAGAAGAGCCCAGTCCCACAAGCACTCAGCCTAGCTGATTTAAAAGGAAAAAAAAAAATTGTCCAAGCAATTAGGAGCTGTGTCATCCTTTCTTGAGTTATTTTTGGGGAAGAACACCAGAAATGTGCATGGGTTTTGGCCAAGCTGGCTCATGGCTACCTGACACCTGACAGGCCTCCCAGTTCAGGCCAGGAAACATGCTGAGTCCAACGATAACATACTGCTGACCTAGAAGGGGCAAAACAGAAAGGAAAGCCAGGAATCTTCACTGCTGGATGTGGCCTGGCTACAGACACACTGGATGTGGGCTGCCATCTGCACCCTGGCAGAGATGTCTACTTTAACCTGCAGAAGGCAGAAGGAAACAGGATGGAGCTGGGGGGTGGTTGGGATTATAAGCCTCAGGGAAAGACCTAGAAGTGGCTTGGGACAGGCTCTCTGGCCATCCACAGGTGGATCCCAGCTCTGGCATACTTTGAAAACACAAGTGACAACACTGTTACTGCCAAGGGTGACTGGAGGTTATACCTGATCAGCCTATACCAGGACACTGCTCAGATCAAGCAGGAGGAAACACAACCAGATCCCGGATATTTGCAGCAGGCCTGCTGTGTTTCTTTGATCACTGAAGTCAGTTTCCGAACCACAGAGGCAAGTGTGTTACCAGGCAAGCCTGCATCCCGTCTGGAGGGAATCTGAGCAAAATTCCTTTGCACAGAGAACAGAAGTCACACATGCTAGGATCCAGTGACAACGGAGAAAACGCTGCCTCCTCTTCTCCTTTTCCACCTGATCAACCTCTCTGATGCCTTCCCTCTGGCAAACAAGACAGAATGTAGCAGCTGGAATTTCTTTAACCTGGCTATTCACGGGTGAGGTACTGGGGATCCAGAGGAAAGCCAAGTGATGAATTCATCCTTCACTAGCAACCCTCAGTCTGCCAAGACCGCCCTTTCGCAAGTGGGGATCTGGGAAGAGATACAAAGGTTCCAGAGAGAAGGGTGCCCTGTGCCCAGCCTGGTCAGCTGGACGAGCACTAGTGGAGTCTGTGGCCCTTTGGGAGGAAGGTAGGGCTTGTGAAGGATGCAACTGAAACATTTCAACCATGGAGATTTTCTCTCCTTATAGGAGTAATCCATTTTGGTGGATGTCATCTTCGGTCATATGTGAGAGAGAGAGAGAGAGAGAGAGAGAGAGAGAGAGACAGGGAGGGAGGGGCAGCTGCTCGAGAGAGAGAACTCATTTAGTTACAGGGCAAGCGCTGCATCCTACTTTTTCTATTGTGTTGATCTTTTATTTACTTCTTTACACCATTAAGTAAACTTTTTTTTCAGTTTAAAAAACTGAGATGTTAGAAATTTAGATTTTGATAGCAATGGCCTTTGTGTTGACGAGGCGTCCCCCTCCAGTTTGGGAGAACTGTGGAGACTGCAGCTTCGGGGGCGCTGCTCCACTGGCACTGCATTCAGAGAAATAATCTGCAGGCTGAGGTCCTGGCCTACTGACCAGCACCAATCACTGCAACAAGTCAACATTTATGAGTTAAGGGCAGTGATGAGAGCCACCCAGGGCAGCTGAAGCCTCTCCTCACTACTCCACCTGCGCAAAGGCTTCTTTGTCTTTCTCGCAGAGTATTTTCCCACTTTTTGGGAGGACCTTCTTTTGCATATTCCTCTGAAGCTAAGTGACCTTCATCTGCCCAGTCTACCTTCTTCCCTCTGTCAAGGGCCTCGGCCTCACCTAGCATTCTTCTCTCGGGAACAGGTGCTGGCTCTCAAGAGCTCCATGTACCTACACCACAGTCACTGTCCTTTGTTGGAAACACCAACCTGGACCACAAGTGCCAGAACAAGGAGGCATTGTTCTCTTTCTTATCCTTAAGCACAAACCAAGGTCAGAGGTAGGGGCCAAGCAGAGCTAAAATCATGGTCCAGCTCTCCAGCCAGGGTGTCTCTAGTGATATCACGGCTGAAAAAAAGGAGCAGGATGAGGGAGGGAAGAGAGAATAAATACCTTCTTGGCATCACAGTAGCGAAGTCCAAAGGCATGAAACTGAGGGAAGAAGGTCGGCTTGACTGCGACAATCTGCGTGTAGAGCTCTGAAGGCCGGGACATAGCTGGTGTGCCTGACAGTAAGATCACCCTCTTGGCAACCTAGAAAACCAACAGCCAGAGCTGCTGAGAACACATAGAGGGGCACACAGGGACTATCCCAAATGCCCCAGGGGGACAGGCCCCTGATGCCCCAGGACAGCAAAGTCCCCTTTCACTTCCCGGGCATTCTGACTACTGGCAGTTCTCAAGGCTATCGTCTCAGAGCCAACGCAGATCTAGATTCCAAAGACACTAAAGACTGACCCAGCTTCAGGGCACTGTGTGGCCCACAGGGACTCAGTTCTCTGTGACAACCAGAAAAACAAGTACGTGGTCCAGAGCTCCATGCGTGCCGCCACCTTTGCTTCAGCCCATCCAGCTGCCTTTGAGCACCCTCTGCCATCTCTGCATTAGCACCTGGACCATTACACTGAGTCTATTTCTAGACCACAAGCCATTTGAGACCAAGGACTTGGCTGTGTTGACCTTTATTTTCTGTAACAGCACCTGGCACAAAGTGAGTAATCTAGAAATGGTTGCTGTGTGCTGGTAAACAGAAAAAAGCTGATTAGTGTTCTGGGGAACATAGAACAAATGCTAAGAATCCAGCAGTAGAAAAGGAAGTAGAAGCCAGGGGGTGGGGAGAGGACTGAACTCCTTCCAGAATGGATTTCTGACATCCAAGTTGAACCCATGTTACTCACAATGACACCAACGACCAGACCTGTCTGCTTGCAGGAGGAAGCACCAGGGACTTCTGGGGATATACCTTTGTCTTTCTTTCAAGGAGAAAAAAGGCTGTCACCCATCTAGCTGCTCAAAGACTTGCGGTCATTTTGCAGTTCATAAGACTTTAAAAAAATGGGACCCAGATCCACTCACCCTCAATTCAACGTGGGTCTGCAGCAGCCTGTTCAGCGTCACTGGTCAATTCCAATGACAAACTCCAAGTTCCTCACTAAGCTGACACCCACTTGAACCAAGACCAGACCCAAATACCCCTGCTCTAATTTTAAGATGGGAAAGAAGATAAGGATAAAACAGAGACACTTCCCACTGTGTTAGAACATGGGATGGCCAAAATTTCCTAGAGGCAAATTTCATTTCAACTCTGGGAAGGGACCCTACTGTGTCTAGAAACAGCTTGTTAACCACTGTAACCTTGAACTAATGACAGTTGAATAAGGCAATCGCAGGCAGTAAATCACCTACCAGAGGAAATTAGGCTCTCAAATGGATACACTACTTCATAAAAATAAATAAATAAAGGTGCACCAGAGGGAAGAAAAATGATTCCTTATAAATAGACAATATACACAATTCTCAAGATGCACTTCTGCCCTCTCAGCAACTACCATTACCTAATTCCATTACAACAGGAGAGCTATGAATTTCTCCACTGTAATTTCCACAGTTCAATTACCCAAGCCTTCTAATTTCCAGCACGGTTTGATGCAGACTCATTATAATAACAATGAGCTTCCTGAATGACGTCTTTAGCACCACTGGCCTTAGCTGGAGACCATTTCAATGAAAACAGGAAAATGAAAATCTTATCAATAAGAAAAATCGGCCCACTACCCCAAACCTATTCCCAGCATCTCTGTTGTCACCTGGGCCAAGAGCTCACAGAGCAGGTGATGAAATTAACTCCAGGGCTCCCTGTGAGGTGTTGACAAGAGTGAGGCAGGACTGAGTCAGTTCTCCCAGACGCTGTCCAGACTGGTGGGTGATGGAAACATTGGAAATGGAGGATTATGGGTGTTAAAAAGCAGCATTATGGCGGGGGGGGGGGGGTGTGGGGGGGTGTGGGGTGTGGTGGAGGAAAGCCAGCTTTGAAAAAAAGTTACAATGGCATATCATCTATTATGGGTGATTCAGCTTGCTCCCTGCCAGCCCAAACACATCCCTCTTGTCATCACTGTCATCCTCAAGGTCTTTAATGATGTCCAGTTGGACATGATTTATATCCCCCTCCACCTCCAAGAACTTCCAAGAACTTTCCAATCTACAAAAGTATAAATGCATAAAAGTATGAATGCATAAAATTGAACACTTTATAGCTAATTCCTAAAAAAAGTGGCATGTGAAAAAGCCACCATGGAACATTGTACGAAGAGGATTTCTATTTGATGTTGAAGAGAAATTAGATGATTGACACGTGCAGACACTGTTGGGGCCTTCAAAGACAGGTTTAGTTTCCCTGTGGGTCAAAGGCGGGGGAGCCCTGCAGATTGAGTGGAGAGCAGGACAGCTGGTATTCACAACTTGTGAACTAAAGTCTAATGAAGTAAGTCAACATAGATACAACCCACATACAGAATTTAAAACAGGAGTCAAAAGAAAGCTGTCTTGTAAAGAGCTGGAGCTGTTTTAAGTTCACAAAAGCAGCAGTCTGGGAGTTCTCCATCATTTTCTACTGTTACCCCTTTTGTTTTTCGTTTCTCCAATGGAGCCAATAACTTGCTTTTCTGAATTACTCTGATTGGCTGTAACGTATGTCACCGTAACTCCAAACTGGGGAAGAAGTCATGCTCTCCAAGTTCAGTCCCACTGCGTACCAAGTATTATTCCCAATACGCTACATATTTAAAGTTTATGCTACAGGCAGAGTCTCCTGTGATATTTAGCAACAGAACACAAGTAGGCAGGTGATACCAAACAGAAGGTGAAGCCCATAGCACAAATGTCCCAGCACACATCAGCCCTGATATCAGTGGCAGGGATGAGGGAGGCATGTTAGTTAGTTCAGAAGTCATTATAGATTCTTCAAAATTAAGATTACAGACAAAGGGAGTTGAGGACAAGCGACCAAAACACCACATTTTCTGGGCATGATCTGGCCCAGGTATCCTGCGGTCTTAATGGTCTTGTTACAGAACTTTAGGACATCCTTTTCCCCCTAACAGTCTAACCAAGCAACTTCATCAAGCACATTCACTGAAAATATCTTACAGTATTAGTATTCAGAATATAGTTCTAAGAGATACAAAAGTTAGAGGAGAACTCAAGAGATCTTAAATGAGACCCTTCCTTGTCTTTTCAAAGGCATATTTTCTCTCATCTCATCTCCTGTTTCATTTCAAAATATTTAGATTCATTTCCTTACAATATCTAGTCCTGTGGTTCTCAACAGAGATGGAGGAGGGGTGACTTGCTTCTCAGGAGAAATTTGGCAATATCTGGAGACTATTTTGGGTACCATTGGTGTGTAGTGAAGAGAGGCCAGGGAGGTTGCTCAACAATCTACACTGCACGGGACAGCCCCGCACAACAGAATTACCCAGCTCAAAATGTCAGTAGAGCCAAGATGAGAAACTGATCTAGGTGGAAATGTAGCAGAGATGAAAGGTTCAGTGAACAGAGTAAGACAGGAGATCTCGCCCTTACCCCACTCAATCTTGCCAGCACATGGGCACCGCATGTGGAGTCAACTTTATGGAAGAGAGCAGCTTTCAGGCACCTTCACAAACTGAAGATGGGTCCTATTTTAAAATGTTAGTTCATCCAAGTTTTAGACCAAATGCAGAGCAATATATACTAATAACAGATAAAAGATTGTTCTAAATATGTTATTTTGAAATAGACCCAAGATATTAAAGATGTAAGTGCAGTTTTAAAAAGTCTGACTTAGAAGCACCTATTTCAGATAGTCCAGTCTGCGCGCCCAGGCTGTGAGTGCATTAATAAGACAGTTGCTAAGAAGCTTCTTCACATTATACATTTAAGGATATAATCTATCATGCAGGGTTTTTTTTTTTTTTTTTTTGTCTAAACATCAGGGGTACAGATCTAATTTTAGTTATAGCTGTAATACTGGAATTACAGTAACAAGGCCTATTAACATTTTTCAAAAGAAAACATATTAAAGTCTCCTAAAAGAAGGATCACCCTGGGAAAAGCATTTCATTTAAGTGTGTCCATAAGTGGCTCTCAACCTATAAATATTTATAGGTAGTATGAGCAAAGGATCAAGCTTTCTAAGTAAAGGACATTTATTTTTAAACTTAAAGCAGATGACATCATCCTGCTTTAGAAGACATATTACTTGCTATTCTAAAAAACAAAAACACAAAAACAAACCAAACACCCAAACTGAAATGAATAGACACTTGTGTGGTATTTGCAGAAAATTGATAAAATTAATTTTCAGATGCTAATACACTACACTAACATTTAGCCTATTTGTTTTCTCTAATTTAATATAACCAACGCTTTTCTTACGTGATACAAGCTGCAATTGTAAAGACTGCTTTGATGGAGCACAAGATAAACACAGATCTTCGTTTGCTTAGTATAAACAAACCAAAGTCATCTGGAAGAGAGTTCTCCCTTGTCAAGAGAGAAAAAGCTGTTTCTCTCATTCTGACTTTTCCCAACATTGGCAAAAAAGGTCACGATAAAAAAGCTGAAGGAATTCTGGGCCCCGTCCCTCGGTGAGGGATGGGCAGGGCCAGGACACAAAGCAGACACAGAGGGGGAGGGCCACATGAAGCCTGGAGTCGAGACTGCAGTGAAGATACTTCCAGATAAAGACTTGCGCTCGCTGCACACACGCCCTGCTCTGAAGCCCACCTCAGCCCAAGCTCTCAGGCACAAGGTCAGACCACCAGAGAGGGATGTGGGGATGGCTGACCCTCCCGTTAATAAAACAGACTTAGGATGACCCCAGAAAAGAACATCAGCCTAAATGGCACATCTCAGCTTTGCCAGTGCTTCTTGTTGATACCCACTGCCTGGTTCTAAGTCTGCACAACTCATCTTCATTGGCTCCCAGCACCAGGAGAGCTTTGACCCTGAACTGATTCAGACAGGCATCCCTGTTGGGATGACACGTTGCAGGAGGCACTCTCTCTGCTTTGTCTGGAGGAGCAGCAGAGGGTCCAGAGTGCAGGTCCCATCAGGCCTGTGACCTTCAATGGGTCTTCATCTTTGAGAGCAGAGACGACATCATTCCTTAGTGGGAGCCGGGAAGAAAATGAAACTGGCACCAAAGACCTAAGGATGGCTGCCTGATGTCAGTGGGGTCACGTCCACAGCCCACAGCCTGCACTGGCACACCCTGGGGCCCCCGCCAGTTTGAGCAAATACCTCGGGAAGTTGATGTCAAGTAGGCTCAGCAGGACTCACCTTGAGCAGGGGCAGAGCAACACGACAGCGGGCAGTCCTACTGTTTTTAAGGAAGTGAGATTCATCCTGAAAGGAAGCAGTCACGTAGGTGAATAAGACCAAGTCCTGAGTGGAGGCAAAGCTCACGTTAAGCCTAACCTGGCACAGGGATGCCCCAGGATACCTCCCTTAGCTTTTATTTTTTTAAAGATCCATTTTTATTTACTTATGCATAGAAGAACTGGGGTGTAGGCCAGAGATGCGGGGGCGAGAGGATTCACCAGAGACAGAGTAGGGAATGGAACAGGCGGATCTACTGAAATACACTGCTGAGGGGAGCAGCAAGAGTGACAGGAGAGGTCTTCTGTGCCATGTGGGTCAGCTACCTGGGCAGGGATTGAATACATGCCTCAGTGGCTGGCGAAAGCTTGATAGCGCTGACAATTTAACTCCTGTACCACCACGGAGGGCCCCCCTTAGCTCTTTCTTGCTCAAGGAGATGGCTTGGGCCTGCCGAAGGACCCAGGTTCTGGAGTACCTTCTCCGCCACATTTTGGCACGTTGCTTCATATCTCCGTGGGGTGAGTGATTTCAGCCCTGCCCACCTCACAGGCTGAACTCAGCAAACTGCTTTGCTGGTTTACAAGACACACCTTACATCTGCAGGCGCTAAAGCAACATGTGTTGAAGATGCACGTATACCCTGCACGGGGGAGGTGCTGTGCCCAAGCCCTGCCCACAGGGGCTCACAGTGCAGGGAGGGCATCTGATCAGCCAGTGTTGTAAGTGCTGTCACTGAGGTGGGAATGACAAATTACCATGGGAGCTTAGGGAAGGGAGATGTGATTCCTGTCTTTAGGGGACCAACAGTCATGTTGAGAACATGAGTTTTGAAAGAACTGCATTCTGTACTCTGTGCCATCAGGAAACGAAAACACGTCATATTTTATGAAGTCGAATGAACAACTAACACATGCTTCTAATAATGCCTTTAGAACAGTCCTGCCACTTAGGAGGCACTCAGTGGTGTCACCCTCCTATGACAGGGATACCAGGAGATCCTGGCTCTGGTCCCTGAAGGTGATCTGTGAGAAACCCCGTGCTCCATTTCAGCTATGATGAACCAAAGAAGACCTAAAAAACAGGATGGAGGGAAGTGTGAGATGAACCCCCTAAACCTGAGTGTAACACTCACACTGCTGTCTGACGATGTGCCCGTATGCCCACAAAGAGAAAAAGGGTTTACAGGGAGCAACAGCAGACAGTACAGCGTTTGTGGATGGGAACAGAGCATCATGGACAATTAACCAACGTGCAGAAATGTACCACTATTGTAAATGACCGCGTGGGATGGCGTGTAACTGAAGTCTCTTCTAAGTGTGACGCTCAAGAGCCACTCCTTTCTTTCTCCCTCACATTTCTATGAAGTCAGAGACAGGGCTCTTAACTGAAGAAGCAACACTGATGCTAAGCAGCTTGAAAGGTTAAGTAAGTGTGGAGCCACAAACAGAAATTCATGAATTCTGAAGCCAGTTGCAGCCCAGTTTTAATCAGTGCTGCTCCACCTTGCCAGCTTCCTGCGCGTGGGCACTGAAGACACACCTCTCTCACGGCCGGCTGCATCAGGGGCTCATAGTGGCCATGGGGCCACTGGGAAGATCAGTGATTATATATAAAGTATCTGATACTGGATGACAGTTCTTCCCACACATCGCTGCACCATTGCCTGAGGGGCTTTTTTAATATTTTCATTTCACATGTATGCTGTCGTTATTCAGGCTATACTTGTGCCAAAGCAGAAGTGACACCCCCCCAAAACTCATTACCTAGAGAGTTTTGGAAAAGTATAAACATTTAAGTTGGTTCATGCAATGTATGATTCTCATATACAAAACAATAGAGACCTGAGGTCAGCAACTCTGCCCTTTCTCAGAGCACCCACAATCCTTGGCTCACCCAGCTAGGAAGGCAGTGAAGTGTCCTCTAGTGATCTGTGGGGTTGTGTCGGCCTACTGGACCATGGTTTCCTGGAGGACGAGGCTGACCCTCCCCTCCACACACTCCGTGCAAAGCACCGTGGGAGCTGTCGAGCTGGAATGAATCTCTCACATGAAATTCTGGAAGAACATGCCTCGCAGCTACCACACAGCCCAGAGCAGGGAAACCAAGGCAAGGAGTTGCTAGTCAGCCTTGTTGAGCTGTGCTGCGAGAGACACCACTTTCCTAGGCCTCCTAAAAAAATATTCCCTTCCTCTCCTTCAAGATAAGATGACTCCAAAATTGAGCATCAAGATTTGGCAAGCCACTGTCAATAGAGAATTCTATTTTTAAAAGGATGAAAATACCACTGGCTTTTAAAATTCACATGTTTAAATAAAGAAGGACAAGTCCTTCCATATCATTTGGTTACACTGGATTTCCCTGTTTAGCAAAAAAAAAGGCAATAAACTTCCACTGGAAATCATCTGTCACATGCTTTGCACCTCAACGTTAGTGGTGACTGGGTTGGGGTAGGAACTGGACAGACGGGGCAGGAGCCGTCTGGTTCCGAGTTTTGTTTGTGAATCATGTGGATACACTGAGCACCAGCACACGGTGCTCTCTCCGGACTTTCCGTCTAAGTACGTGAGGAGCCGGGAGGAAAGCTGGTGACTGAGAGATGTACCGCCACATCAGCAGCCAGACTCCTGCAAAGCCCTGTTCCAAAAACAACTAGGTGAAAAGTGCTTTTTGTGCGGGCATGGAGTGTCTTCATACTGGCTTCACAGGCAGGGAGGAACGTACAAGCAGCCTAACCTGTACATCCCAGCTACTGTGGCCAGAGCAAGCACAGGAGGCCGGTACCCGCGCTGACCAGGCGGAGCTCCTGGAGCCCAGGAGTCGACTCCAGCCAGCACCTCCCATAGGGAGCGACAGGCTAGAAACCCCAAGCACTCACCTAGCTAATCACATTTTCTAAAAGTTTCCCAGGAGATTCTAATATTTAGTAGCCAGGAATGACAACCGTTATTTGAGAGGAACAAAATGTCAAAATAAAGACAGGGATTTCTATTCTCCTAGAAACCCAGAGAGGGACTCTGAGATGTGACAGATCTGAAAATTCTTAGAATTTTTAAGAAGGAAGTTGCCACACTCAAAAGGCTTTGCCAAGTCACTTACAATAATGACAACTTTAAAAGGAGTTTGTAGCTGTTTCTCCAACTTGCTCAGAAGGTCAAAACTGACAATGTTGACCAAGCCAGCTCTCAGGCGGTCCTTCCCCGTCACCACAACGTTGATGCTGTCTGGGGCCAGGGACGGCAGCCACTGGAGGAAGGCCTGGGGATGACAGGAGAGAACATACCAAGACAATGATGTGACCTAGCAGGTGCCGGCTGCAACCAAGTCATCCACTGTGCTCTGTCCACCTAGCCCAGGCCCAGCGCTTCTTCCTCTTAGCCATGCACGCCTCTACTTTTCACAGGATGCTCACTCTTTATGAGCGAGCACTCATTCACTGTCACTATGTGGTGTCTGTGGTCTCTAACTAGATGGCCAGTTTCTGCAGGGGCAGACTGACTCCCAATTTTTGGCAGAGCCCGGTACACTAAGACAGTGATGATGATGATAATATTTATGTCTGCATTTTCGACAAAATCACCCGTTCTTGGAAATCTTGTCATTTCTGGACGAAGCCAGGACCTGGAGCCAATGGAAGGCTACCAGGTGCCCCCGTGTCAGTGGCTGGTGTCTGGCTGCTCCCCAGGTGGTCCTGGGGCCAGCTCTTCAGACACTGGGAATGCTGGTTCTTTCTCCAGTCTCAAAAGTGCTTATAGCCATATGGTCTTTTGACTCTTGTGTAGAATTTGTGTAGGAATTTAACATACAAAACAAATGTGTCTGAACTACAGTTCCTCAAGGCATCAGTGGCTTTCAGACCATAAGGACAGGAATGGAGGTACTGTTCTGACATACTGGAAGGGCACATGTGGGCATCAGGTGGGCTGTCTGCAGGTAGAGTTGTCTCCTCTCCGTGACCTTAGGAAGAAGGTGAGGCATGAGGAAGCCGGTGCCTGCCAGGAGTGGCATGAAGCCACTGCAGATGAAGAACACTGCAGATGAAGCCATGGCAGATGAAGAACTCTGGCTTCCTTCTTCACTGAGCTTCTCTTTTACTCAAGACCCCTGGATTACGGGCAACAATGCTCATGTCAGATTGCTTTGCCACAAGGATCCTGGTGGACAGTGACCGTCCTGCCCACACTGCCTTCTGCAGGTGAACACCTGAGCCCTGATATCAGGAGACGTGTCATCAAGGCCTGCACTGCTTTCATTAGCAGCAGCCCTGGTGCTTCTTCACGTGGAGATTGTTTTATCTTCTGCAAATGCATTAATACATCGTGTCTACTGCACAGGGTTCTTCTGGAATTAATGGCAATAGAGGAGTAAAAATATTTTGAAATCTAAATGTACATATGAAAGGTGTTATTTGCAGGGGCATGAAGGTGCCCAGGTGTCTGCTGGCAGACTGAGCTGAGTCTGAGCTCACTGACTCCTTGACTTTCTTCCCTAAAGAACTCAGAACTTCCCTGATTCTAACTCAGAAAGCCCTGAGCTTGGCCTCAGGAGGCTGCTGCATCTCTCTTCCTGCCTCCAGACTGGCTTTTTAAAGCTTCCCAGGCCCTGTCCCCAACTGTTACTTGATCGCTCTAACTTGAGAACCTTTACTAAATTCACAAGGCAGAGAACCCACCTGCTCCCAGGTGAAACGCACAGATGATGGCACCACCACCAGAAGCGGCCACTCCTTCCGGTAAAAGGCCGCTATGCAGATGGCCTGGATGGTCTTCCCCAGGCCCATGTCGTCAGCAAGCAGCAGGCGGCCTCTTTTTGCTATGGCAAAACTGAGGGCAGACAAGGTAAGGAGAGTAGCATGGCACAGGGCCACCAGCCAACCTGCTGCCACGCCACATCTACAGCTGCTGCTCTGCCTAGTGCGGGCTGGCCAGCTTGGCTCTGCCAGAGGCCTGCTGCCAAAGAGGGGAGAGCAGGACCCAACAGAGCACAAATAATAATAACAATATAGAGTCAAAATAGGGAAAATGTGAGATGGAAAAGGAAGGGAAAGACCTAGATGATCATTAGGTGGAGGAAGCCATGGTAAAAGTTTCCAACAAGGGTCACTCTCAGCACAGGTAGGGAGGCCCAGTGAGCAGGGAAGGAGGTGAGGAGCACAGGTGGGTGGGTTGTCAGTCCTGCTGACGACTTGGTTCCTTCCTTTGCACAGGACACTTTCCCGCCCATACCAACTGAACACACACCTAGCTGTTAAGATTTCTAGATGGACTATCAAGACCTCCTCTTCTTTCTCCACAAACTCCCCTATTTTCACTAGAAGCAAGTTTTTTTCCCAAGAAATGCTGGAAAAAAGGACAGGTTGGGAAGTGGTTTATCTTTTGACTTTCTATAAGAGCATCTGACTTTCTTTTGAAAATCAGCACCTCTCACTACATTCAGTTCAAGTAACTTGCGTGGGGCAAGCCCTATCCTTTGGCCTAATCCTCTTCCAGGGACAGGTCCATAGCTGGGACTGGCCAACAAGACTTCTAAGCCCTCCAGGCCACAGAGACTGGCCTGGTGCTGGCACCAGATTTAAGGTATCCCAGACTCACAAGGAAAGAGGCGCTTCCACTGGATGCTGAGCTGGTGGGTGTGAGCTGGTGCCCTGGGCAGCCCTTGCTGCCATGCTGAGGACTGCCTGGCTGTGAACAAGGTGAACTAAGAAGAAAGCAGAGAGGTTGGAGGGACCAAATCCAGATGAGATCTTCAGAGACCCTGGGTTTTCTATTCCATGCACCCAGAAAATTCTTAAACTAGTCTGAGCTGGGTTTCTGCACACCTGCAACAAAGTCCTGATTAACTGACGGAATTTGAAAACACTGGTTACAATCGGGCTTTGGTAATAGCACACCTGGCTGCTTAATGCCTGGATCATTCTAGATGTCTGTGAAAGATGAGCATTCTGAAAGAGGGGAGCATCTGAACGAACTGGTGGTAAGTTATGAAATCTCAGTAAGAGAGGACAGAGTAAGTAAGATCTTACTTGACTCCAGCTCTCTGGAAGGGCAGCAGGTTAGACACCAGCTTGGGGTCCACTTCAGAAAGGTCAGCCTCAGGGATGTCTGCTGTGAGGGTCGTCTTCTCCAGCTGAGAAGCGAAGGCCTGGACCAGTGTCTTGGGCAGAGGGTCCAATTTAACTTGTGGGAGGCAGCGCACACGTGCAACTGGAAAGAACAGGGTGTGTGAACTGGAGTGTTAATGCCTGAGAGGTCTGGGAAAAGAGACGCCTTGGAAAACAAAGTTCTGTGGTTAGAATGTGCTGCCTGCCATCTTCTTAAAAAAGCAACTGGAGAGAAACCTGGTGGCTGACAGATGCATCCTAGGCAAAGTACATCAGCCTAGAGAATTAGCTTTGCCTCTTTATTCCTTAATTTGGACAAAAAAGGGGGCAATCAGCAATGTGGAATTGATTTTAGTGTTTTTGCAACCGAAATATTTTTAAACTGAATTAAAAAGTATATTCATATTCCCATGCAACTATTTAAGGAACCATATTTTTAAAAATCAGGAAAGAAAAAGCAAGACTTAGAATAAATCTCATCTTGTTTCTATCCCCTTTATGTTTTCTTTCAGTTTTGATATTTGAGAAGTCCGAGAAGTCTACATTGCTTGCTATCAACAGGCAAGGAGTTTGGTATGGACAAGCTGTCAGGAGCTTCCAGGACAGATGAGAAGGACAACAGTGTTATTTACAAACAACACCACCAACAAAGGGCAGAGTCCATGCAAAGGCTACCAAGTGATAAAAATGCACATGGACTGGCTCACATTGGACGCTTTCCAGAAGTGAATAATGATCTCACCTTTAGAAGTGAAATTTCCAGTAGTGATCTCAGTAGTGAAGCACCTAGAAAATCCACTGGTCTGGAGATGACCCAATAGCCCCCTACTGAGCCCAGAGCAGATGCCAGCAAGCTAATAAGGCCTGTGGGCCAAGTCAACCTGTTTTTACAACTAAAGTTTTACTGCAAGACATCCATGTCAACCTGTTTAGGGATTGTCTGTGGCTGCTTTCACTCTACGATGGTGGAATGGAGCAGCTGAGACTGACTGCATGGCCCACAAAGCCTAAAATATTTACTATCTGGCCTTTTACAAAGAAATGTTTACCAATTCCTGTCAAGTTTAGAGTCTGAACTATTACTAAGAATGACCTTTCAATTACAGCTTCTATTTAAGGTTCACTGCTTTCCATTCAAGTGTGCTGATTCTAGACTCCTGCATAATGGAAGGGGAAATCTTTTAGTCAGACATTAATTGAAGTGGGAAAAATTAACTACTTGGAATCAACATGGAAATGAAAGCAAATAACTTTCACTGATTTTGCATTCTTAAAGACTTTAGTGTCAGATCATTTTAAAATTAAGAGAAAAAGGGTATTCTATAGAGAAACAGAAAGGCAATAAGTGAGAGGTACAAATAAAACATACAATTCAGGGGAGAAGACAAGTTAAAAATAAAAAAATTGAAGATGATAGAGCGAGAGATCCCTGGTGGCACAATTATTGAACAACTAATCACAGACACTATCCTAGGGGTGCAGCTTCCAAGGCAGCCTTCCCTTTTATCAGTGTCCTCTGAAAGTCACCACTGTTTATAGATCTTCAAGCGCTCTATATCCTGTCCCTTTTCAGGGACACCTTGGGTGACTCCTAGTAACCCACCAAGGGGCTGACTGTCTTCAGGAATCCAGTAAAGGGAACCAAGCAAGGAAACTCGGTATATTTCATTTCTACTCAAAATTATTTGATGATCTAAGATTGCTCGTTCTCTGTTCTATATGACCGTGTACTGACTGTCCTCACAAGGTATTCCAAACAATCAATCGGCTCAGAGTGCAAATCCTGATGGAACTATGGAGGGCTGAGTCATTCCCAGCCTTCTCTAAATCTATGCACCAGATATTTCTGGAAACAATGTGCATGAACAGAATCTCCATGATTGGAAATTAGGTAAGGTTGACGGCTTTCATATAAAAGAGACTGTCCATATGGATAGAAATACATTTTATGCCTCCAAATTAAATCTGAGCATGCTGATTTCTACACACTTCAGGAGACTGAGCACTCCATGTGCCTTCAGAAACCATTTTCGTTTCAATCCTAGCAATCCTCAAAACCCCAATAGCTGATGAAAAGCTAAGAAAGGGCTGATGATCCAGCTGGTGTGAAATGTGGTGCTCGGTAAGCATTATATTCTTTCAGCTGTTCAAGAGGGAAAAACCAAGCCTGCTCTAACAGCTACTGACTCTAAAATCCTATGCTGCTAGCTCAGCCAACTGGGTGTGTTTCTAAGAAAATCCCCATTCGCTGTCAACGACTGTCACTGTTGTCTTCTCCCTGTGCTGGGGGATGACAGGAATGTGCTGTCTGGCTTCATGAGTCATCTCGAAGTCAGTTCTGTACAGTAACTCTTTGGCAGAATGCTACTGAGCCGCCCGGCAGAGAGAGGCTAATGTTTTCAAATAGCAGCTAGCAAGGCAAGATCGCTGAGGGGGATGCAGAGCCCTTCTGGACCGGGACAGTCAGAGGAAAACAAAAGGCCTTATGCCAACTTCACTGTGGCAGAAGGCCTCGAGTCAATTAGAGAAGAGAGGAGGAAAGCGCTTAGACTCACCTTACCTGGAGAAGATAATTGTCACCTCATCCTCACTGAGCCATCATACAACCAAGTCAAACAGTCATTCCTCAATTAGTCTCACACACACGGATCATAGGTCAATAATCTAATTTCACACATGAGGAAGAAGGGGCGTGCAGATACCCCAGGTTTATGGGCTGTTAAAGATGGGACCAGAACTATGCCGGGCACAGCACTGTCCTGCAGTCTATACCTCGCTCCTAATGGGTGACGTTCCAAACTCAAGGTGGCATGGCAATTTTAGACTTTTTTTTTAAGGGTTGCTATTTTTTTTTAAAAAAAGATTTATTTATTTACTTATACAAGCACTATGGGTACAGTCAGAAGCGCAGGAGGGTGAGAGAATTCACCAGAGCCAGAGTGGGGAACAGAACAGGCAGACCGAGGAAATACACTGCTGAGGGGAGCAGCGGGCGGCAGGAGAGGTCTGCGTGTCATGTGGGGCCCTCGCCCGGCAGCCGGGGAACGAACCGGCGCCGCAGAGGCTGTGGGCAGCTTCGTAACCCAGCGCTCAAGCGCTGTGCCACCGGGGAGGCCCAATTTTAGACATTTTTATGCCACTGACTTTTATTGTGTTCCTGCAATGCTCCTGATAAGTACTGTTTCCTTTTTCTGGGTCCAAGCTGGGATCCTAATCTAGGAAATGAGGAGAATCAGTCTTTTCTTCCACAAAACACTAATGATGAGAGAGCATGGACAACAGCCATCCTGGTTCTAAGTCTAGAATTCTTAAGACCCATGGAATTACTAATATCCAATGCAACATTTTATGTGTGGCCATTACGTGCATTTTTCTGGGTAAATAATCCAGGTTTTCTTCAGATATTTCAGGGGGTCTGTGGCACCCAAAGATTTGAAAGCATTATTTAATGCGGAGAGTTGCAAGGCATGGTTTTCCACATGACATTTACCTGCCGATACTGTATCCTGCTTTTTGTCATTCCACACAAGTCAAACCCTTTAAGGCTAACATACTTATATCCTTCTGTATTGGAAAAACAAAGAAGTGAGAGGGAAAAATTCACTCCTATCCCTCATGAAAAATCCAGCTTTGGCCAAAGTTTCAAGAAGCAGGGGAGTGTTCAGATCAAGTCAGTACCCCTTTCTGGCTCTGCCAGTTTGCTGAGAAGTAGCACATCATTCACACTTAGCCTTGTGGTTTGCATCGGTCTTTCCTGAAGGACTCAAAGGCTCTTCCTTTATATTTAATTTCTGTCAGTAGGAAAGATATGGATTAAAAGATCACTTTTTTTATTGAAGGGGCAAAGGAGGTCAGCATGTTGAATTACCTACCTGATGTCACATAAGGAGACAGAGGGTGGACACCCAGCTTTCCCCTCTTCCTTAAAGCCCCAGCCTGTGGATGGGTAAGATGGCCAAGGACTTGGAGCTTCCCATGTCTCTCCTGGCCTAACTGGTATCAACAGGTGATGGCTCCCACTGGCTAGCAGGCTCAGGGGGTCACGAAGGAGGAATGTAAGTTGTGTTAGGTGCTGCCCACTGTAGAACTGTGATAGCCTGGGAGGTGCATAGTAGACTGGCATTCTAGATATGACCATGTTGCCTTTTCTCAGGCATATTAGAACTTACTGCCCCACCCCAGCAGGACACAGAGGAGGAAAATGATAAGCCAAAACTGGCCTCTTCTTCTTGTAATTCCATCTGTACACATGTCCCGTCCCTTGATCAGTCTCAAAAGTGCTCACAAAACGCTGAAGTACCTTGTCCCAGGCTTCAGCACCTGGCAGAACTCAGCCCATAACCACGGAGAACCTCCTACCTTCGTGGGCCATTTGGTCTCAAAACTAAATTGGGAGCCTGTTCTTAGCAGCTTCCATTTAAACTAAGCAACCCTTGCTCATTTCTGACTCCCAAAGTTCACGTACTTTTATGATAACGGGACAGTTTCACAAACCTTGGGAACCTGACTGGCCCCGTTTCACCCCGATGGAATTAGAGGCCCTGGGTTTTTAGGCTGTTATAAAGCTGCACCTCAGCAGATGTGGGCACAGTGCCAGAAAACACCCTCACCTTTTCTTGTTTCCTACACCAGCCTGGGAAGATACCACAGTAGAGGCAGAATCTTAAAACATGTCCAATTTAGGGCAGATTAATAAAGCTTAATAGCGTGCTATAAAACAAGCAAGGTGTGTATCTTACTCAGTTTGTTGTGTTCTTCCAAGAGAAAGTTCCACTTCCTGGTCTTGACATCTATAATGATAAGAAACAAATAAATAAATAAGATACCCAGCTACACCATCACCCTCACTCTCTGGTCTCAAAACCTCTAGCATGTGGGCTGACATGGCTGGTCTTGTGCATGGCACTGTGACACAGAAATCCAGAGAGTACCTGCCCTAGACGTTTTCACAGATTTCAGTCAAACGGCCAGCTCACAAATATGAATTCTGCCACTTTCTGGCCGTGTCACTTTGGGCAAGTTCTGTAACTTCTCTGTGCCTCAGTTTCCACAGCTGAAAATGAGGCAACTGCAGCCCCTGCCTCGGGTACTTGTGAGGATTACATGGCATTTAAATGTCTAATGCTTCTAAAAGTGTGCTGGCAAACAGTGAGCACACCCAAAAAAGTAATTATAAATTATTCTATTGTTGTTCTACCACCTGCTGACTAGTATGTGGGCACATATGACCGGTATTAATGAAGAAGGGTGAGGGTGAGTGTCTCCCTGCCCAACACTGGCTAATGACTGAGAGGTTTTCTCACTTTCTGAGAAAATCAAGAAAGGTTCAATCCAAATGTTTCCTGGGCACTAAAAGCAAATTCTCCACATCTGGTCAGAGAGCAAGCAAGGTGGCTGGGGCAAAGAGCACCATGGACACAGGTATGAGCTTCAGGGAGAGAGTAAGGTGGCCTAAGAGGACTCTGATAGAAAGGTCAAAATCAGACAGATTTTTCTCGCTGTGGGCAGAGTGTGGGTGACATTTCCTGGTAATGGCTGGAGCGTGGCAGAGGCAGAGCAGCAAATGTGAAAGCCCATAAATTGAGCTGTGGCGAAAACAATCCAAGCTTGGTTTTGAGGTGTCTGGAATGGGCAGGACTGGGTATACAATTTTAGTTTTTCAACTATTTATATTCCCAAAACAGCAAACTGCATCAGGAGGGTGATTTCAGGAGACACAGGGATCCTGTGTTTCCTTTTTTGTTTTGTTTTTTAATTTTATTTTTATATTCCCCATACAATTACAGCCACCTTATTTTGACCCCAATCCTTCCTTTCCCCGCCATGGGTACTCCAGACAGGGGTCAAACATCTTAGGGCTGAGAAGGCAAAAAACTAAGGACTATGTGAGTGGCTCATCCCAGGCTTCAGGCTGAGTCTGGCACACCTCCCCCAAACCCTGCTGGTCGCCAGGTAAAACTCTGTCCCCTCAAGGGACAAGTGCCAGACAGCATCACCTCCTCCTGAAGGAGCCCCAGCCCTGGCAAAGCACTCACAGAACACGTAACTCTACATGAACTTTTTCCACAATGGAGTTAGACATGAGGTCTCATAGACATAAGACTTCAAAGGTTTACTTTCTATTTGTCTAAGGAAAAGACTAAAATCATTGCAAGAACTGGAAAGTACTGATCCATAAAAGCTACATTGTTTTGTAAAACAACATGGCCTGAGCTGAGAATGAAATCCAGGAGTTCAGAATTCTATAGCCAGCTCTGCCCCTTAACCCAACCGGGTGGATTTTGAAAAACCTCACAAAAAATAAAGCAAAATTGCTCTGCTTTGGCCAGCAATTTTGCATCTTATCTGATTATTAGACTTCCTGAAAACTTTCAGAAATACCAAAGGCCAGGCCCCACCTCAAAGTCAGTCAGTATCTCTGGGCAGGAGACGGGCATCAGTGTTAACTCCCAAGTGGGCCCAGCAACCTGGGCCTCACTGAGCCCTGCAGGTGGTTCTGATGCATGCACAGATGTTTGAAAACCACCATCTTACTCTACAGAATGGCATTTATTTTTATGCAACCAGCTGCTTTTCAAGTCCAGCCGGGGTTTAAAAGGTTGCTGCAGGAATTTACCTGCTTCTACCAGGATGACACTGACCAGGTGTCTGGGGAAAATCATGGGCTTATCTCTTTGGGAGACCTAGAAGGACAAAACAGGTCCCATCAAGTGTTCCCTATCTGAACAATTTAGGCATCAGTTTCTACAGTGAGAGGAGCAGGTCAGAAAGGTTCTACTGAGAAAGTCATTTCTGAATAACTTCTCTTGAGGTCATAAGCTATTACACATCCTGGGAAGAAGACAGAAGCTGGGCCTCCCCAGTGTCACAGCAGGTTGAGCGCAACACTGTGAAGCTGTCCACAGCCTCTGCAGCACGGGTTTGATTCCTGGCTGGTCAGGGAGATACCCACATGGCGCGACAGACCTCTCCTGTCTCGCCCGCTGCTCCCCTCAGCAGTGTTTTCGGTTGTCTGCCCATTCTGTTCCCCGCTCTGTCTCTGGTGAATTCTCTCACCCTCCTGTGCCTCTAGCCTATACCCCAGTTCTTGTATAAATAAATAAATCTTAAAAAAAAAAAAAAAAAAAGAAGCTGATTACCGTAGTTTCTGGAATCCATCTGTTTAAACAGTGTGATCAGGTCTTCTGAACCCCTGATATCTGCCTCAAAGCGGGCCCTGGAGATGAGCAGGCACCGCCCTTCGACAAAGTCAAGGGAGGCAGCAGGAGGCAGGCATGACTGAGCTACTGTGCTGCTGCTGGCCTCTCCAAGAGGCTCCAGTGTGACTGTGGGGAGGCGCTGGGCTGCTTCCACTGCCAAGAAAGAAAAGGACAGAGGTTTCTCTAGATTCCATATGTAAGCGCAACTATCCCGTATTTATTGTTTTCTTTCTGGCTTAATTCATTTAGCATAATCCCTTCCAGCTCCATCTATGTTGCGCAAATGGCATGAGTTTATCTTTTTGATGGCTGAGTAGTATTCCACTGAGTGTCTATACCACATCTTCTTAATCCACTCATCTGTTCTGGTACATTTGGGTTATTTCCATATCTTGGCTATTGTACAAAGGTTAAGACAAAGACACGCTGTAAGACTGACCCTCAAAAGCAGACCTGAGACAGCCAGGAGGGAGTGGGGAAAGAGAAGAGAATAAGGTGGGAAGAAAGAACAGTGGAAGGTGGTGAAGGACTGGGGACACTTTGGTGGTGGGAAAATCATGACTGCTCCTGAGGGGAGAAATCCTATATTATGAGGAAAGAAGGAGGGAGGGAAGGAAGAAGGAAAAAAGGGCAGAGGTGATAACCCAGTAGACTTTCTCAAGGCCCCAGGGTACTCAGGCAGGTGGGAGGGACAGGGGCAGGAGGAATTCCAAGGGCAAGTAGGGGAGAAAAGGCATGGTGATACTGGGAAGGCTTGCAGGGGTATTTTCGTTGGGGCTTCTGGAATTTTAGTATTTCTGAACACTTCTGCTGCTTAAGTTTTCAAACTGAAAAACCTAGAACTCAAAAGAAACTAAGAGGAGAAAGAGGGATCTCACCAGGATGAGTAAACCCACCATATCATTTCTATTGCTGTGTGAGAGAAACCATCAAAGCCAACACACGTGGCCCACGCACCTATCTTTCTTTCTACGTGCCTACTGTCTGGGCAAAAAGGAAGCAGACACAGGCCTACAGGCCACAAATGCACATTCTGGAACCTGATTTTATGTATCACTGAAGCATTCGTGGATGAATAGCTAAACTGTGGAAGACACGAACTGAATCTAAAGACAAAACTACTGAATAAAGATGCCTGCATGAAGTATAAAGAGAACTCAAATTTGAAAAATAATTGGGCAAAACACAGAAAGAACTCTGGAAAATGATCATAATCACTCAACTTTGGGAATCTACCCTAACTAATAAGTGAGACTGCAAAAGTTTATGGACAAAGGTTTCCTTACAGCTTGAATACTGAAAAAACTGGGGCCAAATGAAAATGATACCAAAAGAAAACAATTCAAAGCAATTTATAACAGTAGTGGGCTCCATTAATATTGCCAGTGACCCTAGATACTGGCCATGGTGAGAAGGGGCGGCAGTGAGGGGTGCCATAAAAGTCCTCTGAACCATAAGCTAGATACCACATCTGTCACTCCAGAGGACTTTTTAACACCAGTGTCTCCTGACGATGTGAGGGGCGAGGACACACCTACTTACTCAGGGTGCTGTAGTCAGTCATGCTGAAGTTCCACGTCTTGGTGGCAGGATCTAAAATGAAACAGAGAAGTACTTGGTCTGCTCGCAATGAGGCTACTGACTATAGTTATAATATGTATTTGGACATTCAGTTAAAGCTTGTTTGACGAATGAATGAATGCTAAGTCCAAAATTGCTGACAAACCCCTATGATTTCCAAATCCCTGTGAAAACAAAGAGCAAATATAAATAACGATAGTACTTTTATTCTACATAGTGGAATTCCAGTCAGGCCTTGGGGTGTTCTGGGCCTCACCTAAGCGGGTTGATACCCAGGGAAGTCAGGTCATGAGGCATGAGAAGGAGCATGTGCTCTGGGTGTTACAGAGCTAGCTGTGCCTGGCTCTTCCTTTCCAAATGAACCAACCTGAGCACATTACTTTACCTTACTGAGCATGTTCCTCATCCAAAAATGGAAGTAATTAACATCTACTTATCACAAAAAATTATTGTTAGGCTTAAGTGCTACAGTGCATATAAAGCTCCTGGCAGAGGAACTGGCCTCTCAGTAAACATTCCTCCATTCTCCATATGGCCATGTGGCAGGCCCCAAATCTGGCAGCTGTTTGAAGGAACATCTATTACAAAAGGAAACATGAGCTAAAATAGAAAAATTTCTAACTACTGGATGGACAGAATGTGCCAAAGCACCTTCTTCATATTTATGACAAACTGTTAGATTAAGAGACTCCAGAAATAGGAAAAAAAAAAAAAAAATCGAAAGAACAAGACTAAAGATTCATTACCGTAACTTCTGCTGGGCAGACTCTTAAACACAGCAATGAGTTCTGCATTGTATCCGATCACTACCTGGAAACGATCTCCCTTCCTTATGCATTTCCCCTCCTTTTGGGATCTTCCTTCTGTTCTGGGCGTCACAGTCCCTGAATTATAATGGATGTTAGAAATGTTCCAGCCTGAGGTGGACGGTGTTGATGTCTTGGTCTCTAATTCAGGATCCCTGGGAGGCTGTCTAGAGGAAGAAGCTGGTGTTTCCTGTAATATCTTGGTTTTGGCCAGAGGCTCTGGAGTTGTATTAACAAAGGGCGTCAACTTGGTCTCATGTGAAGCGTGAGGATGACCTTGACTTAACTTGTCACCTAAGATCTGTCGCTTGGAGACCTCTGGAGGACTTTGTGCTGAGGAAGGGGAGATGGCAGTGAGACTCACTTGACTTGATAGGCTGTGGCTTGGGCCGGCTGTGGGTATCTCTTCTTGCCTCTTCCATATCTCCTTTGCCTGCTCTGGCATGCTGAGATGAAAACTGTGGGAATTATGAGGGCTTTGGTCCCCTTTAGATGAACTACTGGGGTTCTGTTGCTTGGGAAAGACACCATGTTTCACTGGCTTAAAAGAACCCCTGGGGAGATTTTGGGACGGTCCCTGCTTTGTCTGGGAAGCTATGGCAGCAACAGAGGAGGCCGAGGCTGGGCTCTGATGCTGCTCTACTAATAATTTTGCGGCTCTAAGGGCTAGAGCCTTTTGTCGATTCTCTTCAATCTTTTTCTTCTGCTCGTCTGTTAGAGGCAAGGACATTTTAATGGGAAAATGTTTATGGAAGAATATCAATCTTTAAATGGAAACTTGGCAGAAACTGAGAAAGGAAAAAAAAAATGAAATAAACATTAAATGTCGGAGAGTTACGGTACCCACACCTGAGGGGAGAAATCCTATACTGTCAAAAAATTAACTAGACATAAAGCAATGATACTTAAATAAAAATGAAAATGAACATTAAAAATTATTTTTTCCTGCTCCTACCTTGATTTTTAACAAATTTTGTTGCAGGAAATGTACAGGGAGAACACCCAAAGGATATATTAAAGTTTCTTTTGTAACAAAACACACACACACAATTATGGAACATATGCTAATAAAATGACCCCAACATAGTGGCAAAAAGCAAAGCTGGATAAAACCCAAAACTAAAAAGAGATTTCAGCTGCAATAATTTTTTCCCTCAATCCCCACTCACCCCAATGTGAGTTATTAGATCCTAAGGAACTTAAAAAATATAACCTAAATCCATCAGACGAGACGGGCAATATTTCATACTGGAAAGGATAATGGATTAGAGTGACAGAGACCAAAATAACCACATACCATGCTTTGACACGTGTTAAAACAGCCTCTTTTCAACCTGGAAGAAGGAAAAAAGCATTAGGCTCACAGACTGCACACTAAATTCACCCCTCAAATTCACTCCCGTTATTTCAGTCTGCAGTGGTCAAGTGTATGCCACAGAGCATCTGGCCTTACTGCCTGCCTTTAGAATAGCACCACCAGGGAGCAAAAAGTGACACAGAAAAAGATTAAAAAAATAATCCAAGCTTACTGTACAAATTCACAGGCCACATAAAGACAGGAGGAGTAAAATCAATCTGCCACCTCATCATTCGATCATAATCACTGCTAAGAGCACAGCATGGTTCTGTTCCTCTGGCCATGAATTTGGGGAAATAAATATGATTTTATTACAAGCTAGGTTATATACATTGTTTTTTGCGCCCCATTGTCCCCCTCTCCCCAATCAATTTACTCGGGGCATTTTTCCATGGGCCGAATCAGTTTTACAGCATTCTAGAACCAGGGAGTTGGATACCAACTTCTCTGGCTTGGATCAGACTCAGCAGCCTCCACCCAGGGTGATGCCCCATAAAGCTTTCAAAGAGGACACAGGGCGTACTCCAGCTTCACCGTTTTGGCCTGAAAGGGGCGCAAGGCGGTCAAGGTTTCCCTCCAGCTGGGACTCCCTCCACCATAGCTCCACAAAACATTCACCCCCAGAGGCCCTCCACTCTTCCATGCACAGGGGCGGGCTTTGTTCCCGGGGCACAGCTGAAACCCCTGGGCTCCCTGTGCGACACTCCCCTGCCTAACCTTCCAAGTAGGTGCTGCTGCACCCCTAAACTCTGCAGGTCCACGGCCTGGTGCAGGCACTGCTCCTGCAGGCCAGGGCAGGCGCGGCCATGGTTTGAAGCCCCGCAGACCAGCCCCCAACCATAAAGTGATCCCAACACACGGACTCCCCACTTGCTGTCTCTGCAGGGACCTCTGCCCCACCCAAGGGCGGACGCGCCCCAGGGGTCCGGCGGGGGGGGGGGGGGGGGGGACGGCCACGCCCTCTCCATCCCTGGGAGTCACCCTTCCCGCGGCTCCTCCAGGGGGACATCTGGAGCCAGCGCCTCCTTCCTCCCACTCTGCTTTCTCACCCGCTGAGCTCTAGAACGCGAGCCCCAGTTCAGGGAGGCCCACGAACCCAGGCGCGTCTCCCGAGCCCTCCCGACTCAGATTTCTCTTCCGTGTGGGACGTTACGAGCAGGTATCCGACGCGGCCTGTTCGCGCGCCTTAAGGCAGCGCCTGCAGTAGGGAGGCTAGGTTTGGGGACCCGTCGCCAAGGAACTACATTTCCCAGCGGGCGACGCAGCGGCAGTTAGCTTAAAAAATGGTGGGCGTGATAAGCTGGGAGCGAGAAGCTGCGCTGCAAGGTCTTCTGGGATTTGTAGTTTGCGCCAGGAGCATGGCGGCAATTAAGAGCAAGGTGTGGCGAGGCGTGGTGGGAGTGGTGCACTCTGGGAATTGTAGTTCCCCACGTGAGCGCATGTAGTTCACCATGAAAGCCGGGTTGGTTAGTTTCCAGAAACGGAGTTTCGCTGTCGTAGCTACCTCTAGGGGGCATCCGTCACAGTCAGGCAGCTTTAGTTACTCTTAATATAATAGAAAATAACCCCCACCCGCTGTCAGCCGGTCTAGTAATGATAACTTTGCAATTTAAGCCCCACCCAATGTCCCATTGCCACCCTTCCCAAACCGAAGGAGAATTAGCATCACAATGGTCCTCCTCTTCATCAGTCGTTGTGCTGATCTTTTAATTAAATGTCTCAATTTAATCTTCACTACAACCCTAAAACACACTTTATTCTTATCTCCATTTTGCAGTAGGGAAAACAGAGATAAGCCTTGTTAGTCTACTTGTGATTCAGAAGGTCCTGTTCTAGAGAGAGAATTAGTAGTGACATTGTCAGAGTCCACACTTTCATGTAGATGAAAAGGGAAAGAATGGGGAAGAAAATAGTTTCCAAATCAAGCAACCAAAGTTACCCATCCCTTGTGGGTAAATGACCAGATAAACAGGGTTGGCCCAAAGCAGGGCCTCTGAGGCCTGAAGGCCTGCCACAAGTCTAAAGCACCTTCTCATGGGGACCCACAGAAAAGGATCAAAAATAGCCTGACAAATCTGAAAGGAAAAGAGCAAAATCAAAATCAAAGCTGCCATTGTTCCCCACGGGTCTCTCACCCACATCTGTTTCAAGCAGTCCAGGACCAAAAAGCAAGTGCAGCTTCTTCATATGTCTCTCTGCTCCATGTGCCTCCTCCAGGTTGCCTCCTTGCTCCCAGTCCTTCTTCTTCCTTCCCCAGTCTCCTCTCCAGCTTCTTCTCCCTGCTCAGGTCTACCCTCCCCTGGATGGGGCAGGGAACCTTGAACCTCCCCTTTTCCTGGGGAAGACCCTGTTTTAATCAGTGTTCACATAAATGTTGCAATTCTATTTTCAAACATGGCTTATTAAAAACAGAGGTAGATCTGCTTAAGGATTTGGAAAAATAGCCAAGACACAATGCTAAGAATAAGAAAGCACAAAATCTACAAAATAAGCCTTACCTGTAAATGCATAAAAAAGGTCTAGGAAGAAAACCCCAAAACTCACAAATTGTTCAGGAATGGGGTAAAAATGAGATACATGCTTCTGTTTTTTAATCCATATTTTTCTGAATAATTTGAGTTATGGAGTTTTTGTGATTTTTGAAGCAGTCATTTATTTTTAATGACAAAACCATTGCCCTGTCTTATAGTACTTAAGTCATGTTTTATAATTGGAGAGACTTGAAATCTCAACTTTTTTTGGCCACGTAAATTGTGACTGTGCCTCAATTTCCTCATGGGTAGAGTTAAGATAGAAAACAATACACTTTGGTAAATATCCATGTTATGGGGAGGAGCAAAGCCAGATAATGGCAGGGGGGAGGCGTGTGGGGGTGTGCTTAGTGAACTGTGAAATCCTGAGCAGATGGGAGACCAATACTGCCTTTATTTGAGGTAAATCTTACCACTTTCATTTCTTCGCACCAAAACCCATTCCCCACTGTATAGTGTGACTACAAACAAAAGAGAACTCCTTTCCTTACCCTTCCTGTTCCCCAGCAGTGAGTATATTTGCTAATTAAAAAAAAAAAAGGCTGGATACTAAGCACTTCACCTACCTCTGCCACTGATTCATATGACAGCCACTTTACTTTATTGGGCTCTGTCATCTCGCCTGTAAAATGATATGCTGCCCCCTGATATATGCTAAGAGGGCATGTGGACCTTAGGTCTGGAATCCTAGAGTCCCCTGAATCCCAGTTTTGTAGGTCTGGAGTTGATGGGATTACCTTTTTAACTCTAACATTTTAAAAGGCTAAGAATGGGAAAATAAAATAGCAATTTGGTAAAAATAATCAACTCTGGAAAATAAACTAATTAGATATCACTTTGTCAATAGCATCTTCTATTGAGGTTTTACTACATGCAAAGCTTGAAATTTTTTCTGTACAGTTAAGTACACATAACATTTAATCAATAACACACCACATAGGGGCCTCCCTGGTGGCCCAAAGGGTTAAGACGCAACCTATGAAGCTGTCTGCAGCCACTGCAGCACGAGTTCGATCCCTAGCCAGGGAGCTGCCCACATGGTGCAGCAGACCTCTCCTGACTTGCTCACTGCTCCCTTCAGTAGTGTATTTCAGTCAGTCGGCCTGTTCTGTTCCCCATTCTGTCTCTGGTGAATCCTCTCACCCCCACACCTCTGGCCTGTACCCCAGTTATTGTATGCATAAATAAATAAATCTTTAAAAAAAAAACACACCACGTATACAATGGTGGTCCCTATATACAGCCTAGGTGTGAGGTGGGCTATTCTGTCTGTTGTGTAAGTGCACTCAGTACCCCTCCCTCATTTCAGGCATTCTTGGGGGGAGTGTAATCAAGGGGTCTTGCCCTCTGGCAAAGCGGTAGACAGGACACAAGTGGAGACAGTCGCACTGTCTCCTGGGAATTTGATCTTTAGAGATGTGATAGCAGGGGGGAGGGCATCAGTTGAGCTCCTGCAGCCCCGTGGTGGCTTTAATGGAGACTGTTCCTTAGTTCTTGCTGTTCATCTTTCCAGGATTCCCCTGTCCCTGTCTTTTTTTGGAAGGGGGGGGGGCACCTTTTTTTGGTAGGAGAGGAGTAACTTAATTTGACCAAAGCTATCTCTGTTTCTTGTGTCCAAAGAACCCTGACTCCTAATTCAGATCAGAGGACTTCCAGCCTTCCTTCCTTAGAATATTTAGCTGAGAGTTTGTTAGGGGGAAAAGGATGTCCCAAAGCAAATTCCATACAGGCTTTGTGGACTCCACCCCCACCCCAGGTCAAAGCCAAAGACACTGGGAACTCCAAATCCCATCACCACCAAAGGGAAGGTGGCTGGGACCTGAGGGTGGGGTTAAGCAGCCAGGTGGATACAAAAGGCAGACACGTGGGCTTTGGGGCTCTCTCCATTTTTGGGCTCTCGGCCAGCTCGCAGCGTCCGGCCAGCTCTGAGAGTGACTTTGGGTTTCCAGGTCGTCGGATCGGGTAGGACGCATTAAAGACTTTATTTCCCTATTTTCTCCCTGAGTTGTACATTTTCCTTATTTCCTTTTCTCTTGTAAATAAACCTTTTATTAACCCTTTTGCGTGTGTCTGTAGTAGAGTATTCATAAGTCCCGTTAAAGCGCGCGGGTGAGGACCCACAGCCAGGAACCCGTTTAATATCGGGGTTGCTCTATAACAAGTTTACTGTAAAATATAGGCACAAAACAGCTGGATTTACAAAATGGTCCAAACTGTGAATTTGCCATTCTTGGTTAAATCACATCCTTTATGATTCTGCAACACCCCCTCTTCCTCGCTTGTCCTGGACTCTGGGTCCTCAAGGTCAAGGGCTGTGTGAAACATTTCTGTCCATTCTGACTCTCACTTCCCACCTTCTGTTTTCTGGGGTCCTCAAAGTACAACTGCAGTATTATTATACATTTCTAGAGATAGCTTTTTTCTTTTTTCCTTGACTCACAGAGTGAAATCTAGGAGGGTCCAGGACAGCATCCATCTCCTCCCTTCAGTGTTAAAAAAACAGAAGCCCAGAGATATTAGCTGGGCCTTATATTAGATGTACAGAGGGCAGGCTGACACAGGACACCTCTATTCCCATGTGGGAAGCTTTTGAAACATTAATCAAGCATGCAAACAGTAGTTGCAAGCTTGCCCTTGCTTGCAAGTAGGTCTGGGCACCTAGGACAGATGCAAGTCTTTGTCCCTAGAGCTTTCTTGCCAGTGATGTAAATTCTGGGCTTCCCTCTTCCCTCTGGCTCAGCTTCCCTGGAGAGGACTTTGGGAAGGGAGCTTTTGACAGCCACCTCAAGGGCATGTCATTGCTCAAGCTAATTACACCTAGGGTGGTGTGATAAGATATGGGAGCAAAAGCAAGACTTTGGGTGGATAGGTGGATAAGGAGGTGTTCCCTCCTCGGGTGCTGCCAGTCAGCAAAGGCATTTGCATACCCAAAGCACAGAGGAGCTATGTAATGGTTTATAAGCCAAGAAATTCACCTTCCTTAGCGGTTGTTCCATTCTGATGGACTTAATTGCCTTGAGTCTGACAGTTCAGTTTTTCTCCTCTTGTCTGCCTCCCCCTAGCCCGCCTCCCCGCACAAAACTCCAAATGTGCTATAAAGATAGAAACTCCCGTATATCATTTCCACATCAATCTGTAGTTCGGTGTGAGGTTTCTCTGAGCATCTAACTGGTTTGGGTGGCTGTGATTGCTTTACAAGCCTCTCTCGAATCTGACATTTTCTGGGGACAGCTTGTATGTCCTTTGCCAAAAGCACCTGCCTGGAATTCCTACTCCCATTTTTTTGGACCTGTGAAATTGTATTTTCCTATTCCTGCTGCATTCCAAATTCTACTT